AGGGTATGACCTTTCTCCACAACAGCATTATTGCATCCCATGGGAGTCTCAAGTCCTCCAACTGTGTGGTGGATAGTCGCTTTGTGCTCAAAATCACAGACTATGGCCTGGCCAGCTTCCGATCAACTGCTGAGCCTGATGACAGTCACGCCCTCTATGCCAGTGAGGTCCTCCTCCCCCCAAATCCACTTTTTATAGGGCTTCTGTGGCTCTGATTGTCTCCACCTGGGGAGGGTGGGAGAGGGTTATGAGGTAACAGTAATATGGAGAGCATTATGGGAATAAGCCTGGGTGGGTATGAGAATGCCTTATTTTGGAGACCTGGACAGCTGTTCCCCCTTTTCAGAGAAGCTATGGACTGCCCCAGAACTGCTCAGTGCGAGCCCCTTGCCAACCACAGGCATGCAGAAGGCTGATATCTATAGCTTTGGGATCATCCTACAAGAAATAGCACTTCGCAGTGGTCCTTTCTACCTGGAGGGCCTGGATCTTAGCCCCAAAGGTGAGAGTCAATTCACTTCCCACAGCCTCTTCCATCTAGGGGCACTGTTCTTCATTCAGATCCTTTATCACCCTCAGAGATTGTCCAGAAGGTTCGAAATGGCCAGCGGCCATTTTTCCGGCCGAGCATTGACCGGACCCAACTGAATGAAGAGCTAGTTTTGCTGATGGAGCGATGTTGGGCCCAGGACCCAGCTGAGCGGCCAGATTTTGGACAGATTAAGGGATTCATTCGCCGCTTTAACAAGTGAGAGGGCACTCAGGGGCAGACACTCCTCAGGGATGGAAGCCTCATCAGTCTTGGAGGGTGACATGGGGCGGGAGCATCCAAAAAGTGTGTTGGGGAGGGAGTCCTGGGAATGTTGAATCAGGCACCCTATCCTGGCTTTTCCACAGGGAGGGTGGCACCAGCATATTGGACAACCTCTTGCTGCGCATGGAGCAGTATGCCAATAACCTGGAGAAACTGGTGGAGGAACGCACACAGGCCTACCTTGAGGAGAAACGCAAGGCTGAGGCTCTGCTCTACCAAATTCTACCCCAGTGAGACCTTTACTCCCCTTCCAGAGTTTTCCTTTGGGATTCTGCTGGTGGGTTCTGCTTCACTGAGCTCTTGAGAACTCACTTCCCATCGTTTAGGACCAGGCTTTCTGACATCTTGCCATAGTGAGTCCTTCTGACTGTAGACTATGTCTGCACTATCATTCTGTCTTCAAGTGAGCGGTGCTGCCTTCTGTTTGACTTCCACACCCTCTCCTTAGGGCACTGCTCTACCAAATCCTTGCTCCAGCAAGTGTATGTAAAACCTCCCCAATTTAAGGCATTGAGTCCCATCCCTAGAGATTCTTTCCCAACTCTTTACTTCTGCACCTCACCTTGCCTAGAGCCATCTTGCTTCTCCACTGGGTGCAGCTTTCCTGTTAGAACTCAGCCACACACTCTTTTCCTCTCTCTCTCCCTGGCCCTCTTTTTCTGAGTTAGGCTCAGTTTAATTGCTCCCTTGCTTCCTAGTTCAGTAGCAGAGCAGTTAAAACGGGGAGAGACTGTACAGGCTGAAGCCTTTGACAGTGTCACCATCTACTTCAGTGACATCGTTGGCTTCACGGCCTTGTCAGCAGAGAGCACCCCCATGCAGGTGAGAGCCATGAGTTCGAATGGGGTCTGGGGGAGCTTCACTGGGACATAACGATCCTTAATAAGAGGGAAAATGAGTTTTTCTGCAGTTCCCATATCTTATTATAGCGTATGGGTTAAGGATTCTTAGAAGGTTGGGTACAAGTGGAAGAGCCTGTGCTTTCCCATTTTTGTCAGGTGGTGACACTTCTTAATGACCTGTACACCTGCTTTGATGCCATAATTGACAACTTTGACGTCTACAAGGTAAGATCTGGGGCTACCCATCTACTGAGACCCCTTTAGAGCCCAGTCTCCCTATAACCCCTCTTCTCTCCCACACCCTCCCTTTCTGGGTCTCTAAGCATCTAGTTCTGGTGTGGCACTGAGGGTTAATGTACTGGACTGCAAAGTTGGTGTGAACTGCAAGGTTGGTGGTTCAAGCTTGCCAGCCACTCCTTGGAAACCCTATACAGGGTCGCTATGGGTCAGAACTGACTCGACAGCACTTAACAACAACAACAACCACTTCTTTAAGGAGCTCTGGTAGTGTATGGTTACAAATTGGGCTGCAAACCTCAGGGTCAGCAGTTTGAAACTACCAGCTGTTCCGTGAGAGAAAGATGTGGCTTTCTGCTCCGTAAAGATTTACAGCCTCGAAATCTCCGTAAAGATTTACAGGGTCACTATGAGTCAGAACTGACTCCACGACACGTAACAACCACCACCACCACTTCTTTGCCTGGAATATAAATACAGCCTATCTTTTCTTTTAAATTCCCTCCGGACCTGGAAGAATCATAAAAGATGTGGGTACAGAAAGATTTATTGGGGTGAGGAGTAGGTATGAAAAGTGTTATCATAATGCTTTTTGTTGAAGTCGTTAAGTTGGCAGAAAATGGACTTTGAAGAAAAGCACTCGAGATTTGAATCTTGCCCTTGTTACTGTGGCCTTGGGCAAGTCATAGACTCTCTCCTAAACCTCCATAGTCTTATCGGTAAGATGAGAGGTATGGAAGATATTCGTTGATTGGAAAGCACCTACCACTGCATTTGACACATGACAGATATTATACAAAGGACCTTCAAAAAGTCTGTGAAAACATGGAGTTTAAAGATAGTGGAATTTTCCCATGAATTTTTTGAAGCTCCCTTATATATGTATTCCTGTTCCTTCCCTTTGGATATACACTACCATCTCTGTTATTACTGTAACAAAGAACTCTCATAAATCCTTTATCCCAATTAACAAATTGTTTTTATTTCCCATTTGCTTTTTAAAAAAATTTTATATAATTATTTTCAGAACCCTTTGATAGTTGTTTCAGACCTATCTTTATCCCTAAAAACTTCATTGTATAGTTCCTAAAAATAAGGACTTTCTCTTACATACTTTACAGTACAATTAATACAATCAAATGCCTGCTTTTTTACACTCTGAAAAGTGGACTTTCTGAGGCCCGTTTCAGTGGCCAGCTTTACCTTCTCACCAGCCCTCTGAGCTTTTTCATGAGAGCAGAGCCCATTTGTCCATGCCTGCTGTGACGGGGTGCCCATCGTTCGACACACATTAACCCAGTATTGACCAGGCACTGGATTGGGGAGAAAGGTGTAAGATTCCCTCCTCCCAGACTCATTTGCTGGTCAGCAGGCTGTCAGCAGGACTCACAGCAGAGTCTGTCTAGCTGTGTATCTCTATTCTTCTCCATTCTCACTGCAGATAAGAGGTGACCTTTTAACCCTCCTCTCCACCAGGTGGAAACAATTGGAGATGCCTATATGGTGGTATCTGGCCTCCCAGGCCGAAATGGTCAACGCCATGCCCCGGAAATTGCTCGTATGGCCCTAGCATTACTGGATGCCGTTTCTTCCTTCCGCATCCGCCACCGGCCTCACGACCAACTGAGGCTCCGCATAGGGGTGCATACTGGTAAGGATGATTCTCACCTCACCCCACGGCTCCATTCTTTCCAGGCTCTCCCAACCTGTTTTTCCTCATAGGGCCAGTCTGTGCTGGGGTTGTCGGCCTGAAGATGCCCCGCTATTGTCTTTTTGGAGACACGGTGAACACTGCTTCTCGAATGGAGTCCAATGGTCAAGGTGAGACATGAATCCAATCTCAGCCTCTCTTGCTCTCTTCTTTTCTGATTCCTTAATATTTATTAACCTGATGGAACATAGTTCCTAATTGTCTCTGTCCTTGAGGAATTTTAGTTCTAGTAAATATGCACCGGGAGACTGAGAGCCTCCTGAGGGATGGTTGGTTGGATAGTATTCTCCAATATTGCTAGTTTTCCTGTTGCCTTTTCTTTGCCTCTTCTCTCTACCATCCCTCCCCACCCCAGCCCTGAAGATTCATGTGTCCTCTACCACCAAGGATGCCCTGGATGAGCTAGGATGCTTCCAGCTAGAGCTTCGAGGGGATGTGGAGATGAAGGTGATAGGCCATAGTGGGGGGTAATGGAAAGGGAGGATGGAAGTGATTATGGGATCATGGGGGGAGAGAGGGAGATAAAGGTACTGATAGAGATGAATCTGAATTTTCTTCACCTCCCTGCTTCTAGGGAAAGGGAAAGATGCGAACTTATTGGCTCCTAGGAGAGAGGAAAGGACCTACTGGACTATTATAAACCCTACTTCCTCCCAAGTGGGACTGTCTCCTATTGCTGGTACCTGGGTGGTAGTGGCTACCATCTCTCTGCACATCTGTAATGGACATTGTCACGAGTTGGAAACCACCGTGCACAAAAACCCTACCTTGGCGGTTGTTGCCCTTTGCAGCTCAGCCTTGTACATATACCTGTCCCTCTCTAGTCTGCTCCCGCCTCACTATCTTCTGTAAATATCTGTATCTAAACCAGAATATTTTGGTCAAATATAAAACACAAAAAGTCATGGCATCAGTCTGGAGTAGGGGCAATCCCAAGGAAAGGAGGTTGTGGGGTTTAGACATAGTAACTCACAGAATCACCAAATTAGCAATATCAAGATGAAGAAGAGACTTTTATGTAAAGTGCCTTACTTAGCAAAATACAGATAGAATTCACTTCCTCACCACCTCCGTGTTACAAACAGATTCCACATTCTACCAATCCTTAGACAGGAGTCCTTTCCCCGCCTGCCTCTACCACCCTTCCTTCCCACGCTGGCAGGCAAGGGAAGACATTTCTCCCAATTGGTGGGGGCCATTCTCAGGTTCATAGGGCAAAGGCTGGCCCAAAGACAAGGGCACTGGTGTTGTGAAGCTGCAGTTCCTCCGGAATGGTGTGTCCAGTGTCTTGATATTACTGACACCCTGGGGTTGGGGGGATGCCAGCATGAGGCCAGATCCCTTGCCCCCAAGTGAGAAGATAACAAGCTCTCTTGTTGTCTCCCTTCCCCAGCACTTAGTCACCCTCACATACTGGTAGCTGTGGTGCCCTCTGTAGCCAGAAGGTTTCAGGCTGCTCCTGATGGTAGTCGTGGGGCTGTGAGGGGGGACACTAAGTTACTCTTAGTCCAGTGGCCCCTCTCTCAGCCTCTGGGCCTGCTGCTTCCCCCCAGCCTGTCAGAGCTGAGGTGTGCATGTGGGGTGGGATGGGCTCTCACCTGGGTAGGGGCAGGAGGCCCTGTTTGCACCAGCTCCATTTGGTAGTCACGATGTGTCACAGATTCAGCCTCAAAGAGCTTCCTTGTGGGCTCCTGCTCTGCCTGCACCTCTTTACTATACAGCCCTGGAAGTCAAGACCACTCTCTCCCCAATTTCTGTCCTCCCTTCCTTCCCCTTCCATTTCCCCCAGCCTCTTACCAGATCTGGTGGTGCAAGAGCAGCTCCAGCATAATTTCCCGCTTCCCTGTGGGGAGCATGGGTGGACAGAGTGGGGAAGCCTGCTTAAGATGCAGGTCCAGAAGAAACACACTTAAGATAAAGGAACGAAACGTGATGGGTTGCGCTTTTTTCTGTTCCCTATACCCATTGGACCATCCACAATCCCACTGAGAATCCCTTCCTCTCCTTTTTTTCTAATAGACTCTTTCTAGCCTCTCTTATATGCTTCATACCTCGAAGTGGCTGACAGAGGTTTCCTGGGGGATGGTATGAGTCTCTGTGGGTGGTGCTGGAGGCCATGGGTGACTGTAGCTGCAGGGTCAGCAGTCCTTGGTGTCCATGTCGGAAGAAGAAACTCTCAGAGCCATCCTGCATGTTTGGGATTCGATCCAGGTGGTTGGTAGCTCTCTGTGGGTCCCAAGTTGAATGACCATGATGTCCCTTCAGGTAAGAACTATAATACTTCTTGCCCTCAGGAATCTGAGGGTAGTCCTTAAGAAAAGGGGGCAGGCCAAAACTTTCATACCTCCTCCTCCCAGTTGTACAGGAGACAGTGGCCCCGTGGCAACTTTCTTGGGAGTCCATTAGATGTCCCTTCAACCTTTGAGGACTTCCATAACCCTCGGGCACCAGGTTCTGGGACTTGCAAAAATTCCCAGGAAGGCTGTTTCTGAGGCTCCAAGCAGCTGTGTGAACCCCAGGAGGTGCCATTAGGGACCAGATTTTTCTGAACGTTTCTGAGCTCAGGACCAGTGACTGGACCTGAACCAGAGTCTGGAACAGGGCCAGAGCCTGGACAAGGGCCAGAACTTGGACAAGGTTTAGTATCAGAGGCAGGACCAGGACCAGTGTCAGGGCCAGAGCCCCGGCCAGGGCTAGAGCTAGAGTCAGGAACAGGACCAGAGCTAGAGTCACGAGGAGGACAACAGGGAGAGCTGTCAGTTGAAGTACAGGGGTCCTGAGCAACACAAGAAATATAGGTGGGTTCAAAGTCAGGATTTCCACGGCCTCTCTTGTGAGTAAAATTGGGTCCAGCACAGGGATCCCCAGGAAGACTGAGATCAGAGGAGGGATCAGAGGAGGGATCGGTGAGGATGGTCCCAGAGTAGGGCCTTGGAGTCTTTGTAGATAATGCAGCTACTTTGACAGTGGAAGCAGCTACAGCTGATGCAGCCGATGCAGCTGATGCAGCCGATGCAGCTGCTGCGGTTGCGGTTGCAAGAGCAGACCTAATAACACCATCTGAAGAAGGAAGCTGATCTGAACTGGACCCTAATCCTTCGGAGCTGGGCTGTAGGTCTAAAGACCTGTAAGAGAGCAAAGTCGACAAGGTAGTCAAAAGCACAGCCAAGGAAGTCAGCCAACCTTTCTTGATCCTTTATGCTGACAGCTACAGCTGCAGGTCTCACCGTGACTCCGATCCCTCAGTATACTCGCTAGTCTCCATGTTTAGACCTTAGTGACCTGGTTGTCATGGAGACGGCAATTCTTGGAGACTGCGCAGAACCGGAGGTGGGCGGAAGTGCAGGGCAGGGGTGGAGACAAATGGTCTGCGGGGCGGAAGTGTTAAACCTGAAGTGGTTTGGGACAGTCGCTTTCTTTTCTCGACTCTATTCCACCTCAGAGCCATTCATATAGTTCCCCTGACTGTAGGTTTTATTCTCCAAGGCTAAGTATGGTATTTTACAGCTTTATAAGCATAGTTTTTTTTTTCTTTTTATCAAATTTTTATTATAAATTGGGTGAAGATTTACAGAGCGGATCGTTAGTTTTACATTCAACAGTTCATAGGCATTTTGTTAATCTCATAGATCGCAATTCCCTCAATGTAGCATCACTTCCCCCACTTTTCCTGTTTCTGGTTTCCAGTCTTCCTTCTTTTCTTAACCCTCTGAACTTTGTCTTTGGGCAAATGTTGCACTTTTGATCTCAAATGCTTGATTATTCTATGCGTGCATTCTTTCCTAATTGTTCCCCTTAATATTAGGTGCTCTGGAGTCCCTATCTCTTAGTGACCTTGTATTAGGTTTCTGAGGAGTTGCTAGTGAGTTTGAACCAATGACTTTGCAGTTCAAACAACCCCAAGGATTCAGTTCTTATCCTACAGTGCCACACCAGGACTCCATTCCCCTAATGTTAAGTGCCATCGAGTCGGTTCCCACCTTTAACGACCCTGTACAGTTTCTGAGGAGCAGCTGGTGAGCTTGAACTGCCGACCTTGTGGTTCAAAGCGGCTTTGCAGTCCAGGGGGTTAACCCATAGCACCAGACCAGGACTCCGTTCCCCTTATAGACTTTTCCTTAGACTGAAAATTGAGCCAAGTGGATGAGTTCCGTTTCAGAACTAAGGGTAACCAGCGATGACAGGCTCAGGATTCCATCAGTCTCTAGCCAACCAATAAGCCTGGTCATCGATATTTTGGGCATTGTTCCATTATGTTTCTCCCATTCTATCCAGGGCATCATTTTGTTCTTATGGTCTCAGGGTGATGGAGATTGATGTTAATGTAGTCTGTTAGTTCATGAGGCCAAGTATTTCCCGAGCATCTTCAATTTTCATTACCTTCTTTCCTCCAGACAGGTAGACCAATGGTGGTGGTGGTTATGTGCCGTGGAGTCGGTTCTGACTTACACCGACCCTAAACAGGGTTTCTGAGGCTCTAAGTCTTTACAAGTGCAGAAAGCCTCATCTTCCTCCTGTAGAACGACTGGTAGTTTCAAACTGCTGACCTTGAGGTTATCAGCCCGATACATAACCACTACACCACCAGAGCTCCTTGGAGAGAGCAATAGTTGCATCTTAGATGGCCACTCCTGAGCTTTTAAGATCCCAGTTGCTACATCCTAAAATGAGGATGTAGAACATTGTCTTTGTGGACTATGTTATGCCAACTAACCATGGTGTTCCCTGAGACAAGGTAGGTCCCGTGCCCCTAGGCCTAGTGACTGAGTCATTTCTTCAAGGTGTGTTTAGTAATGTCTAAGGTGTTTCATTCTTTTCTTCCTGTATGCCTCATCACATGGATGTAGTTGCAGCAAAGGTAAATATTCACGTACAAATATCCTGTCAATCTCTATATATTTGTAGGTATATTTCTACTCTTCTTCCTATATCAGGTCAGCCTGACTGTCGATCCATCATCAGCCCATAGATCCGTTATTGCAGGATTCTTTATAATAGTATCTCTCTGCTGCTTTTGACTCATGCACTCCTCCACCCTTTAGCCAGTACATCCCCCCCACCCCAATTCTTTCTTATTTATCCTCAGTAACCATCAAAGAATGTTTCTTATACTGTGAAAACCTTTTCTTGACACTTTACAACAGTGGTTTCATACAATATTTGTCCTTTTGTGATTGACTAATTTCAGTATGATGACCTCCAGGTTCATCCATGTTATGAGGTGTTTTGTAGAATGATTTCCTTAAACTTTCTGTAGTATTACACTGATGGGCATTTAGGTTGTTTCCATCTTTCTGCTATTGTGAATAGTGCTGGAATGAACATGGATGTTCATATCTACTCATGTCAACGCTCTTAATCCTCTAGGACATACACTAAGTAGAGTTATTACTGGGACAATATTTCTATTTCCAACTTTTTGAGGAAGTGCTATATCATTTTCCACAGTGGTTACACCATTTTAAGCCCCATCAGCATGTTAGGAAGGTTCCAGTTTCTACACTCTCACTAGCATTTGTTTTCTGGTTTTTGAACTTGGCTATTATGCTGGGATGAGATGGTATCTTATTGTTTTGATTTGCATCTAATGGCAAATAATAGCATGCATTTCTTCATGTCTGTTAGCTGCCTGAATGTCTTCTTTGGTGAACTGTGTGTTCATGTCCTGTGCTTATTTTTAATTGGGTTGTATTTTCCTTGTTGAAGTTTTCTATAAATTTTGAGATTAGACCCTTTTCTGATATATCATTGCCAAAATTTTTTTCCCAGTCCATGGGTTCTCTTTTTACTCTTTTGGTGAAATATTTTGATATAAAAGTGTGTCGATTTTAGAAGGTTCTCTAAGGATGGTTCTTTATGGGAAGATGTTGGAGACAAGCACAGAGCTGTGGCATCAAAGGCAAAAGCCCACCTACTGTGCTTGTGGAGGGGAAACAGTAGCTTCCCCTTAGTTTATCCTCAAAAGTGGGGATATCTTTTAAAAAATTATGGATAAAATACATGAGATGTCAGTTTAAAATCAAAATAGTGAGACCTTATGGTAGTGGGTTTCTTTGTGACTGCTTTTCCCCCAGTAAAAACCCTCCACACTTCCACTGTTTCCCTCTTTATCCCCATCCCCTTAGAATCTGGCTTGGCTTCAGAATAAGGTCAGGACTAACCAAGTCTCATACCTGGGATTCAGTCTCTTTCTACTTATTCCTACTGCTATTGTAGATGCTTGACCCAGAGTGCTTCACTAGTCATAAGGACTCACAGTTATAGGCAATTTCTTTAACCATAAGATGGGTTTCCTCAGTGTTTCTCACTCAAACCATAATTAAGGGAGATCATACCCACAGATGGTTTTGTTGTGTTTTGTGGTTTTTTTTCCTTTATGGTATAAATCTTTATATATTTAAGACAAAGATTTAGAGTTATAGGAGAGATTTATTGGCATTACAGAGTCCTTTTTCCCCCCTCCCTATCCAAGCATCTAGGTCTGGGGTTGTTGGTCAGTTGGTTCAACCTGGAGGCCAGAGGAGTTGTCGGCCCCCAAGTACATGAATGTGCAGGTGGTATACAGATTGTGCGCCCAGCTTCCCATCATTGATCACTGAAATGGAGTTAGGATGTCAAACACTGAAGACCATATTAAGGAATAGGTATGAGAATTCATAGGAGCTCAAGGGCCAGAAGTTACTTACCAAGTCGGTATCCATCTGCTAGGCCCTCAGACTTTGCTACCTTCTTGGCAATAAGGAGGAGGTGTCCTAGAAGCTACAGGGAGAAGGGAGCCAAATGGCTTCACTCACAAGGAACAAAATCTGTAGCTGGTCCAGGGCCCCTCCAGCCAAACCCTGGCCCCGTTCCTCCCACCTGCTGATCCTTCTCTTCAGCCTGACTAATCCGAGGAATGGGCTTCTTAGGAATGACCAGAAAGTGCACAGGAGCTTGAGGGGCCACATCACGGAACACAAGACACTGGAGGTTAGAGGGAGGACATGTCATAGGCAGTGACAGGCCAGAGGTCCCTATGCTACTTCAACAGGTAGGATTCTATCTTTGCGGTGTTACCTATGAAATTCCTGGGGGGATGGGTCCTAAGGGCATCCCACCTGATGGTCCTCAAATAGAATGTCAGCTGGGAGGCTTCGGTCCAGGATCCGAGAGAAGATGGTTGGGGCTGCTCCCCCAGAAGCTGCCTGTTGGGCCTTGGTCACTTCATTTCCATCCGTTGCACCTGCAGCTCCTCGGACCTGATGGTGGGTCACACACACCCAAAGAGGGAGTTGACAATACCTCTCCAATGTATTCAGAAGCTGAGCCCTGATGGTCATTAACTTCACCCTTCTAAAATCCTATTAGTGAATTTATTTGTGATTCTCACCCAAAAGTATCAGCAGCAGACTGTGGCCGATGATACTGAGTCACTAGGTAACAGGCCGTGAAGGATTCAGTAGTGAAACAGATTCCTATTCCTGACTGGTCTAAGGAATCTAGCACCATCCAAACATAAAGGGTGGTTTGCATCATCTCTTAAAACTACTTGGAACTTTCCATTTACTCTCACCTTGTTAATATTTCCACTACATGCTTTCTGGTCTTTAATCAGATTTTAATGTAAATCTGCCCTGTTTGGATCCCTTGTAAGCGTGTCACGTTTGACCTCTTACTGTGTGGATTGTAACTCCAGTCCTTTGAATTAGTGGAGGGAAACGGTCAGCTAAGTGAACTCAGTATCCCCAGCTGAGTTGTAAGGATTACAACTCAGAGAATGGGGGTAGGAAAGAAATCCCAGCGCTCATTAGAGACTTGAATTCAGCAAGTCACTTTGGGGAAGGGGATAGGGTATATAGGATGAATTAGACTTCTCGGACCTTTAAGTCGCTCTGGCAGATCGCTGGTGAAAATGATAGACACTAGTGCTTATTAGGCTAGGGGCTTGAAAGGAGCCGAAAACTGGCTCCAAGACGGGTAGGCGCATTTCCTGCAGGGGGCACCAAGGAGGCTGCCCAGAGCAGGCACCCGGTCTGCTGGGCTTCAGGTCGGAGGAGAAGGCAGCAATCGCTGCGGGGACCCTGTCCCGATCTCCAGTCTGGGCAGGTCTTCTCCAGTTCGCAGATAGGCTCCCGGGGAATGGCTGCTGTGACCTTCAGTCCGACCTTATAGTTCAAGCCCAGAACCCGAAACAAGGTAGAACTCTGGCCCCGCGAGGCTACAGGGCTGTGTTGGCCTTCGGGAGTCCTACCCCAGAGAGCGTCAGAGCTCGCGGGACACCCTTCCCCGCTTCTGAGGCCACTTCTCACCTGCGCTCCCAGCGGTCCCGCAGCCGCCACCCCCCGGCGCACTACGCGGAGCCCGGCGGCCAGCATAACAGCCGCGGCCATCTTTCCTTGGCCGCCGTGGGACGGCCTGTTCATGGTGGGGCTCGACGCCACAGGCTGCGTCAGGGCTGTCAGGGGAGCGGTGAAGAGCAGCCATTGGCTCCGCCAGTGACCCTGCCATCCCATTGGGTTTTGCGCGTAGGCATTACATCCCGTCGGGAGGGCGACACTATTTACGCCAGCTGCTCCATCACTTTAGAGGAGGAGTCTACGCATTGGCGGCGTCTGCCAACCGGAGAGCTATTTTCCATTAGGGTGAAAGTTCTTTTTCACAGTTGTAGCCTCGCTGTGAGATGATTTTTCATTCTAGTGGAATGATTAAAAGAGAACCAGAGGCGGGGGTCTCCTCCTATAGGATCTGATAACGTAACATTGGCTCTGCATTAAGGTGAGGCTTCCTTATCCTACTGGGTGAGTGGGTGAGGTTTTACCTTATTGCCTCACCCTCCTCAGGTCTCGCAACTACTGGTGAACTAGGAGGTGACTCCGTCACCTGCTACACAAAGCTCTAAAATATTTTAGACTCTCACCGCATTGGCTCAGAGGAGGGCGGGTTCTGAGAGAACTCAGCGCGTATTGGTCCCAGGGAAACACCTCTAAGCCCAGGGGTTCAAGGCCCTACGATTCCTGGAAGGAGGAGGGTTGGTGGAGTGCTTTTGCTTAAGGTGAGCTGGAACAGGGCTCTTCCCCCTCCTCCAAACAAAACTCAAACTTCCACGGGTAGGGTCCACGTCTGAAAGTTGTAGGTGTCAAATATCCATGGTTTTCACATAAGGGCACTTTCAGCCTCTTGAACGTTCAAGGATTTACTGGTCAAAGGACAAGGCGCCCTGGTGGCGCTGCATTTAAAGCTCTCGCCTGCTAACCAAAGGGTTGGCGGTAGAACTCAACAGCTGCTCCGGTGAGAAAGATGGGGCAGTCTGCTTCCCTAAAGCTTTTTACAGCCTTGGAAACTCGGTAGAGTTCTGTTGTGTCCTAATCGACTCTAAAGCAGGGTGGTCCTAAAGAAAATTATGCCGGTTTTCATATTGTCGTTTAATTCATTCAAAGATTAAGAATTCTGCAGTTTTAGGAAAGTTTTTTCATTCAAAAAAAAAATTGTGTCTGTGTGTCTGGGGTTGGGGTGAGGTGTTCTATATCTGCCTCCCTACTAATTCAGCAAGGGAATAGGTACCTAATGTGTTTTCCTTAGATAGGATGTGAGATAGTTAGCTCAATGCCTGACAATTTGGACGTACGTCAGAGCATATTTTGCTGTGCTGGAATAGGTATATTGCGACATAACACGGAGCCACAAAATGCTGATATACTCAGGCACCACTTACGTTTAACTCTGATGTCAAGCACGTAGGATGAGTCAGCACTGTATCTTTGATGTCTTGTCTCATATAAGTGCACAATCATTATTTGTTGAATGAACGAGTAAATAGCATTTGGTGTTTTTCCTTTCATAATATACAATTGTTAAGTGTCGTTGAGTCAGTTCCGACTACTAGTGATACCATATTGGATTTCCTAGGTGCAGCTGGTGGGTTTGAACTGCTGACTTTGTGGCTCAAAGTCCAGTACTAATCCTACAGTGCCACACTGTTGTTAAGTGCCGTCTAGTAGATTCCGACCCATAGCGACCTTGTATAGGGTTTCCAAGGAGTAGCTGGTGAGCTTGAACCACCGAACTTGCAGTTCAAACGATTTTGCAGTCTGATGCATTAGCCCAAAGGGCCACACTAGGAGTCCAATAATATATAATACACATGCATTTATTTGCATTTATAATCAGTTTTCCTTAATATTAGTCTATGTAAATATACTTTATAATAGCTGTACAATCTCTCTTTGAATTGAGTTTATCATAATTGTTAAGGATTGTGTCCCTCTCAAAGTACGTGTCAACTTGGCTAGGCCGTGATTCCCAGTAATTATCCTTCATTTTGTGATCGTATGTGTTATAAGGAGACCTGGGAGGGTAATGGATTGTGAGCTGGACTGCTAACTGAAAGGTCAGTAGTTCAGATCTCTCAGGTGCGGGGAGAAGGATGAAGCTTTCTGCTCCTGTAAAGATTTACAGCCTTGGAAACCCTAAACAGGCTCACTGAGTCAGAACCGACTTGGTGGCACACACCCACCACCCACCCACCAGTGTTGTAAATCCTCCCCTCTTAGAGTCCTGGTGTGGCGTTACAGGATAGGCACTGGACTGCTGACTGTAAGGCTGGCAGTTCAAACCCACCAGCCGTTCCTCTTACTCCTTGAGTCAGAACCAACATTAGGCACTTAACAACAATATGGAGTTTTGTTAATCAGTAGGATACAATCTTCAGGATACAGTCTACAGGATTACGTGGTGTGTTGAGTCCATCGCTTTTGAGCTACAAGAGACTAAGCAAGCCAGCAGAGCTCAGTGGGATTTCATGCCACCAAGAAAGAAGAGCTGACAGCAGAGCTGGTCTCTGTTCTGGGAACCTCCTAGACTGCGGAGAAGATTGTAGCCAAGACACGTGGAAATCTCCAAGGGATGATGGGCCCCAGGTATCAAGGAGACAAAGACCTTCCCCCATAGCCAACATAGAGAAAAAACTGCCCTTAGAGATGGTGTCCTGAATATGGACTCCTAGCCTCTTAAACCGTGAAAGAATACACTTCTGTTTGTTAAAACCATCTACTTGTGATATTTCTGTTCTAGCAGCGCTGAGTAACTGAGACATAGCCATTCTTCTACTGTTGATTAGTTGAATTAGTTTTAGATGAATTCTAGTGCTAACTGCACACATCAGTGACTAGCTCTTTATTTCTGGAGATAGTGCTGATGTCTTATATTGTATATAGCTATACACAAAGATAGTCTTCTTTTTGTATAGCTATATTATTGTTGGACTTCTGGTGTGGCACTGTAGGATCAGTACTGGGCTGTGAACCAGCAGTTCAAACCCACCAGCTGCTCCTCAGAATCCCTATACAGGGTCACTATAAGTTGGAAATAGCCAGATGACACTTAACAACAACATATTATTATTATTGTTTTTAAAAATCCTTTCTTCCTGAAGGGCAAACATTTGACCCAGTGATTTCCCCCAGCAGTCCATGCTGTAGTGATTGCCTTGGAAGGATAGAGGTCCTCCCTAAGGGTAACGAAATATAGATTGGCCTTTTTTCTTGGGTCCCAGAGATCCAAGTTTTCTGTGGTGTCTCTTGGATAGCAGGGCCCTCTAGAACTGGTATTGAGAAGAAGGGCAGAAGGTAAAAGCTGAGATCTAGGAAGAGGTAGGAAACCATCAAGGTGGGTTGGTGGTTGTTACGTGCTGGGGAGGATCTAGGAGGATAGGTGAGTACAAAGCACTTTGAAACTGATTACTTCTTTGGACTCTCATACAGAGCAGGTAGCATGGAGATATTCATGTTTTGTAGATCCCAAAACAGGCTCAGTCTGGGGAAGTGACTTGCCTCTCCTAAGAGTCCTCTATGGATTTCCTAGCCCCTTCCCCTACATTTACTGACTTGGTTCCTGGGTTTTTTTCTGTGTCAAGCTTTACTCATCACCTGAAGCTGCTCTTACCTGAAAGCTTCATTGTGCTGCAAACTGACTACCTACTGGTCCTCATTGATTGCTCCTCTTTTTTTCAGTCGGTCATTATTTCTTAGCTTCATTTCTTTCCCTATCTGCATGGTCAGCTCTCTCTCCTCATCTAATTTTTGGGTTTTTTTTTTTTTTTTGTCTTATTTTCTTGACACCCTCCCACCACCAGTTTTAAACATTTTGCCTCTCTGTTCCTCTAACTAGTTCCTGCTTCTAACCATACCTTAATCCTCAACTATCCATTGATGAGGTCTTTCCTTCAGTTCCCCAAATTTCCCCTCTCCTTGCCTCCTATTCTCCACTCTTGTCCTCCTCTCCCCACCAACTGACCTTGTGTCTTACTTCTCATGGGATATAGAAGCCATCACAAGGAACTTCCACCACCACTTGCTCCCTGACACACCTATTTACTTCCTCTTGACCTTAGGAAGTGGTGCTTTTCCTGTCCAGAGTGAATCTCTGCACTTGTGCCTTGGCTTCATCTTCTTCCTCCATCTCTCTGGAATCTCATTTCATCAGGTATCTCTCCTTTTTCCTCTGCATTCCATAAGGTCTTCCAAACCTTTCCCTTTAGTCTATAATTTTTTTTCCTTCTTGAAAAAAATACTTCCTTGACCCCACATATCCTTCCAGATATTGTCTACTTTTCTCCTGGTCTTCTCATCCAAGCTTGAAGAGATGCCTCTAGACTCATTGTGTTTAGTTTCTGCCTCCACTGCACCACTGAAACTATGTTCTCTGAAGTCCTCAAAGACCTCCTAATTGCAAAATACAATAGGCACTTTTCAGTCTTTGTCCTAATGGATCTTTAAGCTATATCTGACATGGAGAACTCTGTCCTTCTGGAAACTCCCTTAGCTTTCCTGAAACCACTTTCTCTTCATGTCAGAGCCAGCAGCTTGAATGTGACTGTGATGGAGACAGATGGCTGGATCTAGCCTCTCTTGCCCCAATAGGTGCTGACCCCCAGGTCTCAGGGTGCCCCATATGCAGAGCCAGACCAGATCCAAGAGGCTTCCCCTTTATTGCTGACCCGAACCAGGCTCACCAAGGCCTGCGCCAGGTGTTGGCATTATCTGTCCCTGGAGGAGGGAAGAGCAGAGGTGAAAGGGTCAGGTATGGGGGTCAGATCTGAGGCCAGGCTGAGGGCTGTGTGCACCAGGGAGCCCAGGGGACCCAGGGCGGGAGCTGGGATGGCCAGAGGGCCTCTGCGACTCTAGGGCTACGAAGTCAGAGTTGCGGAGGACGGCTTCTCGGAGGGCAGGCATCTCTGCAAAGGGCACATAGTCTGCTCCTGGAGGCGGAAATCAGTGCAGACTTGGGAGATGAGGGGGTAGGAGGTAATTCTGTATGGGTGAGAGTGTGCCTTGGCTGGCCTTTTAACTACAGATCCTGGAATAGTCCCCTGTCCAGGGCTGCTCCTCACCATGAGATCTTCCCCCTCGTCGTCGTGTCTCCTCGGTCTCAAAGAAAGTCTCATGTTCTTCCCAGCGCCGATCACAGGCCGCACAGAGGAAATTAGACTCAAAGCAGTTGCAGCAACAGCCTGGGGCAAGAGGACATCCAAGAAGAATATAAGGAACAGGCGCTTCCTCATCCTCACCCCTTCTGACCAACCACAAACTCAAATCTCTCCTACCAACTCCCCAGCCTCAAATCATTTGCACTCCTATCTCCATCACAGTGGTTTTGCTGTAGAAGGTACCCTTGTGTCTGCAGGGATGGGACCCAGTGGCTACGTGATCTTCGTGGCTGTGTTTGCAGCGACATTGGGCCCTCCAGGCCTTGGGATCGAAGGCAGCCCTTCGAGTGAGCCAGAACTCACCCACCTCCTCTGGGTGTGATGGGATAAAGCAGAACAAGAGGCAGCGACACTGGGCCACACCACAAGGCACGGATATATCTACGGAAATGGAGAAGAGTAGTAGGGTTGAAGTAGAACTTACTGGGGCCTTTCTATGCCAACTCCTTCCCCCACACCAACACATACACACACTTCCTGTCACATATATCCAAGATATATCCCAAGATCTGACAGACTACAGCTATCTCTCATACCCAGTCAGTTCTCTACCTGAGATGATCCGGTGCACCTTCAACAAGTGTCCACAAAAGCACTTGGACTCATCCCCAATTCGGAAACAGTCCCACAGGTAATGGGGGCAGCGCCAGCCAATGTAGAGACCTGAATATGAAGATATTGAATGATAAGGAAATATGAGATGGAAAAGTATACTAATTTCCACCCCCCCAAGTATTCTTACCTATCCCCAGGAGTCCTCACCTCTACCCCTTTAGACTTTTCTCCTCAAGGTTTCCTCATCGCCCCAAAGTGTCTTCAGTTCCCTTCCCACCCCAGGATCTGCTCCATCTTTCAGCCTGTCAGAGGCTGAAGCAAGTCTTCAATTTCAGAGCTGGAAGATTATAAATGAAATTTTGTTCGAAGATCAGTATGAATCTCACTTGAGTTCTGTGTAACTGTGTGAAGGTCTCATCTCCTTCCCTCCCCACATCACATGTTTTGTTTCCTTGAAGCGGACAGGGTGAGGAAAGGGAGAAATGACTGGCCATGTGCAGAGTAGATGATATTGAAAGGGCTTGAAAAGGAGAAGGTTGGGAATTCCTGGTGCTAGAAGATGGGAAGAGGTTTTTCCTTCTGCAGGTTGGCTCCTTCATACTTCCCTTAAATGTTCCAGGTAGCACAGAAATAGTAATATAAGCACTGGACTGGTAACTGCAAGGTTGGTGGTTCAAACCCACCAGCTGCTCCTTGGAAATCCTGTACAGGGTCGCTGTGAGTCAGAATAGACTTGATGGCAGTTAACAACACAACATGAATTTGAGAAGGGCCATGTATAATTTTCCAAAGGCCAGGAGAAAGAGGTAGCCCAGAAGTCTTGGGTAGTGAAGACCAAAAATATAAGCTCATGAGACTGAGAAAGGAGTCATGGAAATGCACGAAGTATCCCAGAAATGGACCACAGCCTTCACTACCTGAAACCAGAAGACCTAGATGGGACCCTGCTAACATGGCTGATCCACAACAGAGGATCCTGGATAAAGTGGGAGAGAAGTGTGAACAAAACTGAAAGTCATAAAAAAGACCAAGCTTACTGGTCAGAAAGACTGGTGGAACCCCTGAGACTGTGGTCACCCTTTAGGTCTGGAAATGAACTCACCCTGTGGCTCTAGTTTCAACCAATAGAGAGGTCTGTATCAGTAACACTAGGGAGGGAGTACTCCTCAGAATAATCAAACCATTGAGATCAAAATGGCAGCATTTACCCAAGGACACAGTTCAGAAGGCAGGAAGTGAGAGCAAAGAAGGAAGAATGGGATGGGAAACACAGGAAATTGGATAAGTGAGTGATATTACATTGTGGGGATCAAAATCAATAATATGAAACAAAATGTGTATAGATTGTTAAATGGAAAACTGATTTACTCTGTAAACCATTCAATTCACAATAAAAAGTTAAAAAAAAAAAAAAAGGCTGAGAGCTGGTACCAACAAAAGACCCAAATCCTTGAGAGCTGTTCATGAGTGGATCTGCACTGTTTGTCTGTCTTCCTGGTCAATCACACTACAAGCAAAGGTAATGCTACGTAAATGTGAGTGGAAGATTCCCTCATCCTCCAGGAGAGCTGAGACAATCCCAATCTAGCATCAGGAATTCGGTACGAGTCCCCCTGGAGTGAGAACTCCAGCTTTAGGAATTGTATTCTCACTTAAAGTCTCAACTTAAGTGTTATTGCCACCAAAAAGTTGACACTGACCTCCTCTGCCTGTCTATGGTCCTTCTTCTTGCCTTCCATAGTTAGCTCTTGTGCTATTATTTTTCTTACCATACAATGCAGTACAAGTACAATCTACTAACTGTATTCCCATTAGCCTGTGAGTTTCTCCAAGGAAGGGTCTATCTTCTCATCTGTATCTCTAGTTCTACCTAGCACAGCCACAAAATAGAGGCTCAGAGAACAAAGACTGCCTGGCAGAACCAGTGAATGAGCAGAAACAATTCAAACAGGAGGGAAGAGAGAGATACCCAGTATCTTTGGCGGTACAATCCTAAAGTTCTATTAAGTAGAATGAGAGAGTTAGAGTAGGTTTTCTTATCTTACCCATACTTGCTCAGGATTTAAAGCCTGTCCAGGTGTGGCTTTTGATTTGACTATGTCTTGATACTCCTGACAGTCTGTTGTGCCAAGTACCCATTACACCAGGGAGACTTAAGAGGTCAGGGTATAACGGAGTCACAATGGAGGTGGGTGGGGCCAGAATTCCAAGAGGAATTCTCAACTCTGTCCAGAGTAGCAGGACATACTGGATTAGCAGTGAGGTACAGAGTGAACAAGAGTCAGTGCCTATACAGCAAGGAAGGTTTGGTCTAAGGGCCAAGGGCAGTTGAGTCCAAACATTGATATGAAACTGCATTCAGATGAACACTGGAGTTTGAATAGGACAATGACCAGTACACTTCAGATTCTGTTAAAGGTTGTTGTTGTTAAGTACCGTGGAGTTGGTTCCAACTCATAGTGACCCTGAACAGGGTTTCCGAGGCTGTAAATCTTTACGGGAGCAGAAAGCCTCATCTTTCTCCCACGGAACAGCTGGTAGTTTCGAACTGCTGACCATGAGATTAGCAGCCCAATTCATAACCACTATACTACCAGAGCTCCTTGTTAAAGGTTATTGTTGTTGTTATGTGCCGTGAAGTCGGTTCTGACTCTGCGACCCTGTACAGGGTTTCCGAGGCTGTAAATCTTTATAGAAGCAGAAAGCCTCATCTTTCTCCCACCCAACAGCTGGTTGTTTCAAACTACTGACCTTGAAGTTCACAGCCTGATTCATAACCACTACGCTACCAGAGCTCGTTAAAGGTGGTGGTGGTGGTTGTTGTTAAGTACCGTGGAATTGGTTCCAACTCATAGTGACCCTGCACAGGGTTTCCGAGGCTGCAAATCTTTATGGGAGCAGAAAGCCTCATCTTTCTCTTGCAGAACAGCTGGTAGTTTCGAACTACCAACCTTGAGGTTAGCAGCCCGATTCATAACCACTATGCTACCAGAGCTCGTTAAAGGTGGTATTGCCCTCAAAATGGAACAAGTGGCATCTGCCTATGGATTCCAGAGTGATGACCTTAGTTCTCTGCTATGATTCCAAATCCTCTTCCTGTTCTGATTAGACAAGGACTGGCAATTAGACAATATTTGGGACACCATTTTGACTCTATAAAGCATAGTCCATATGACCACATGATTACATTTGCATGATTAACATCACTTTGCTCTTAGAATGTTTCCATATAATGTTACATGATGTGTCCAGCCCAGATTTCTACTAGAATCTTCCCCCAGCATGTTCCACAGGCACTTCAAATGTGTTCTCCCTTTCAACTTGGCCCTTGTCCGTTGTCTTCCATTCATTTAACAAATACTTACCAAGTATCTACTTTGTTTTAGGCATTCAGTTAAGGGTACTATCATCCAAGCAGTTACTATAGCCAAAAATCACACTATAATTCTAGGCATCTCTCTCATACTACACATTACCTTCATAACATTTCTTGAATCTGTCCACTTTTCTCCACCTCCACTCATTCACTTCTTACTGGGATCATTACCAGTATATCACAATATTCATATAGTCTTTCTCCAGTCTATCTTACTGGCAGAGTGATCTTTCAGAAGCACAAATGTGTTCAGGTTATTGTCCTATTTAAAATCTTTTAGTGGCTCTCAGCTACCCTTAGGATATAATCCCAACCCTTTAGTCGACACAGAAATTGCTGCACAATTCTTCCTTCCAGCTGAAGCTGCCCACCAACCCTCAACACTCTCTGTACCAGGAATACTGTATTGCCTACAGTTTCCTCCTGGTGCCTTGCCCTGTCATTTTCACCTTACCCACTTTACACCTGTCTCTCGGGGAGTCTTACAGATTTCAGCTGGAAGTCACCTCTTTCAAGATTGACTCCTGAAACCCCCCAAATTAGATGTCCTCTGCTTGTGCAGCACTTCTGGCTGACCTCTATCATAGCAATTATTAGAATGAATTGTAGATGTCTCATAATTATTATTACTCTTATTAGAATATAAATTCATTGGGGGATTTTTGTATTTCAGCTTCGCCATCCCTTTGCCACTTCCACATCTAGCTCAATGTCTGGCACATAGTTAATGCTCAATAAATGTTTGCTGAATGAATTAAAAGAAAACTTACAAATTTATGTTTGCACTTGATGTTTATCCACACATCACATATACTGTGTTCTGGAGTCCTGACTCTTTAGGGATTCAAGAGCCAGACTATTAGAAGGGAGTCCCACGTATCTTTGCTCAGGATTGAACAACACTTGAATTTCTGTATAAAACTGCCAATTTAAACAGGCAAACAAGAAGTTCCCTTAGAAGCACAAAGAATGCAGTGACCTTTGAGAGTGAGGAGTACACAGGATGTTCTGAGAATGAGAGACCTGAATAGACTCAGCATTTGTAAGAAGAGGAGTGCAGAGGCTGCTGCAATCCCATCTCAATGCCGGAATTAAGAATGAGAAACAAATGTGGTCACTATGACTTTTCTTGGCTGGGGATGGAGAAGGAAGGGTTCCTGTATGGGAATGGGGAAAAGAAATTACATGAAGGATGGATAAGGATATAATTAACTAGCTTTTATGTCTTAGACCCATCTAGTTCATATGGGGAAGAAAAGTATGAAAGACCGACATAAATGCAGTGACATCTGTTGAATTCAATTTAGAAACCCTGGTATCCTCATAGCAGCTCTGGGTGGCCCTCTTTCTGAAGGTAATCTCTACAGATAAGAAGGTTGGTATCAAAGGTACACATGGTCACAGACAGAATCGCATGTGTTTACACAGTTTATCTGCATACCTTTTACACACAGGCATACATAAACACAGCATGCCATGAACAGAATTAACTGTCAAGGGTGCTGGTCCTTGGCTGAGACAAGAATCCACAGAGCTAGAAGATATGGCTCTCCTTTCAGTGAGGAGACAAAATGCTTTTGGGTATCCAGGGAACACGGGCCTGGCATGCATGAATAACAGTCTTTTAATGGAATTCCATTAAGGGGACCAAGATCTTTTGCCATGTCAGAGCAACAAATCCCTTAGAGACTGGTCCTGGGCCAGTCACTTTGTATAGGCTATTTGGGCGTAGTGGCTCTGTAGACTAACCACAAGGTCAGTGGTTCGAGCCCATTAGCCACTCTGTAGGAGAATGATGAGGCTTTCGGAAACCCTATACAGACAGTGTCACTGTGAGTCAAAACCAACTCGATGGCACTTAATCACAAATCAGGCCCTCGAACTGGTGCTGGCCCATGACCTTTCTGGTTTTAGCAACTTTGGGTTAAATATCTCTCTTCTACCTGGACTGTATATGAATATCCTAATTTTTTGCCTGCATCTACCCTGGCATTCTGGGTAGGTAGCACTGCTGTTTCTATAAGGGGCAGCTATTCATTCAATGGGCTCCAGATTTTGTTGGGTTCGAGGATAGCCACAGGCCTGTCACAGACCTCTGCAAAGTTGCCCGGACTCACCTGTCTGGATGGCACTCAGGGCTGCATGCTTCTCCCAGTGGAAAAGATGATTCACCTGAGCACCAAACTGCTCTCTGTGCTTTGCCTTAGCCACTTCCACCACATCTGACTGCTTAGCAGGGCCTACTGGGTGGTCTGTGGAACCTGGGGAGGGAGGGACTCAGTAATCATGGGGCAATGAGGAGGCCCTAAATCTCGGAGAAAGGCCCACCCAGATGGAATAAAGAATAACTGTCCTTCTAGGGTAAGAGAAGGGCAGTGATGGGGAAGGGGGAAAGGGCAGGGCAATTACAGCTAGGTGCTTTCTTCCCCTTCTTCTTTCCCAGCTGGTGTCCAGGCTGAGGTGTATGAGCTCTGCTGTCACTGGCAACCACCCTTTCCTTGTCCTCTTCAGCCTCTTCTTTCTGCCCTGCCGATGTGTCCTTTTGGGTTTGGACTAAATGGCCTGAAAGGGCCTGCTTTTTAAGGATCATAGGGTCAGGGGCATCCAGGGTGACTTTCCTTGTCCATGGAACATCATTGGAGGAAGACTCAGAGTAAAGGCCTTCCCTCTGGGTATTATAGTTAAAGGAAGATGCAGAGGGATGAAAAGAAAGTTTCTCAGAGCCTTTAAAGATGGGAGAGTTCTCTGGGCCCTCAGCTATGAAGGGCTTTGAAGGAGTCTCAGAGCTAGCATGTTCTAAAGAGATCGCAGAGCTCTGGGCCTCTAAAAGGGTCTCAGAGGTGTGGGTCTTTGGGGTGGGCGGCACCACAAGGGATTCAGAAGTATGGTGCTCTAAAGGAGTCTTAGAGATGGATGATTCCAAAACAGTCTTGGAGGTATGGGTTTCTAAAGGGGTCTCAGAGGTGTGGGTCTCTACTGGGATCTCAGAAGTAAATGACCCCAAAGGGGACTCAGGGATATGGGGTTGTAAAAGGGTTTCAGAAATGAGAGACTCCAAGGGAGCTTCAGAGGTAGGGGGCTCCTGCAAGTCCTTAGTGGAGGGGGCCTTTGAAGATGGGTGCTCCTCAATAGCCAGGGTGGTTTGAGAATCTTCTGTAACCGTGTCTGTTTCCATCTAGTGGTAGAATAAGGTACAGACTTCATTAGGTTGGAATCAGAGGGTCTGCCCTAGAGTCCAGGACACACAGTGGGTTATGGAATTAGGATAAAATGTTTGTTGCACCTGAGATGTAAGAGGGAAACAAGATGAACTCTGGATCTCAGAGTATTGATGCCAGGAGGGTCACCCATGTGGCATGCTGCTATGGTTAGTAAGGGAGCTGAAACTTAAAAACAGAAAGCAGAAACCGTCAGAATCCCATCAGTAGACAGTAGCAGATCAGGAAGTGGCCTGAATGTAGCACTTCGGCCAGTCCATAGCTCAGAACTTAGCAGTCAGGCTGTGGAGCTCCAGAGACTGGAAATACCAAGTCAAAGTGGGGAAAATCCACAGGAGCGTTGGCTCCAGAGAGCACGGGAGGATGCCCTGATGCATATGGCCAGGCCCTGCCCAGGATCTGGCTTTGTCTAGGGACCACACAAACACTCTCCCCTGATGATGTCGTTAGATTTCATGGTTCACCTACTTCCCACATTTCCAGTCCTGACCGCTTTAGAACCCTGTACTTAGTGTTCATATCCAACTGCCTGCTGGACAGCTCTAACTGAATGTCCCAGAGTGTATCCTAGTCTCCTTTTGCTTCAACCCTCATCTTCGGATTGGCACCAAGAACTGTTGTCCTATCTTTTAAACATTCCCTCCCACAATCCATTCTATTCTCTCCCTTGTCCCAATTTTATTAAATTTATTTCTTCTATTTGGACTGTGAAATACCACCCCACTCCAGCATATAAATCCCTACATCCATTCACTTATGTAACTTATGTCCTGGTGTGTGGGATAAGCACTGGACTGCTGACCACAAGGTCTGTGGTTTAAACCCACCAGTTACTCCTTGGAAACTCTATACAGGGTAAGCTATGAGTTAGTCACTTAAACGACAGCACCCTACTTTTACTCAGGTATTGTGTTATGCACTGGACTCAGTTGAAAGTCTGAGAGAGAAATAAGTTAATCAACAGTAACAATGAGAATGGGTTGATGTATTGGGGTAAACTCAGGAGGCTGTGGGGAGGGGACGTGCCTAATTTATTCTGGAAGGATAGCCAAAAGAGGTCAGTCGTCTTTACTGATCCAACTGAGATCTTTCTTAAAATGCAAACTTAATACCCGTATTCATCTGTTTTTTAAAAAAAAACAATCAATGATCTGACCTAAATGACTAAATCTAAGCATCTTGGCCTGACACTGTATGTCTGTTATCATTTGCAACACTGCCTGAGGATTCCAGCCTTAACTTTCCCCAATCCCTAATTTCCCCGTGCTTCAGAGGTACAAGATAAATCATTTAAACCCACCAGAGCCTTTCCAAAGGGGCAATATGGGAAGGAAGGTAGGGGAAAAGGTAGGATGATGAGGGGAAAGATGACCAGCCAGCAGAAAAAGGAATCTGAGGGTGAAGAATCAGAAGCTAAACCGAAAGGAGGGCGGAGAAACGGTGGAAAGGGAGGGTGAGGCCTAAAAGTAGAGATTGTAAGGATTGGACAGGCGGATGGGGAGGGGCCGCAGGTGTTAGGAGGAACGGGATGAGGAATTCGGGAGGGGCTGTTGGAGGGACGACGTACCTCAGGGCTTTGGTTTGACTGCTACAAGTCCTTGGGTCAAGATCTCGTCAGAAGACGGAAGGGGCAAGTGTTGGCCGAGGGAAGGAAGGCTGCAGGCGCTGAGTGGTAGAGGTCTTACCTGCATGTCAACGACGGGACCAGCTGATCTTCGCTCGGGAGCCCTGGCTAGATCTACCTAAGGGTGGAAAAGGGGAGGGAGAGATGGGATGGGGGGGTCCAGGGCCGAGGAGGGAGGGGATTGACTGAAGTCTCTGGAATCCAAGCCAGGAGAAGAGGGATCCGTCGTCAAGGCAACGGGAACGCCCAATAGTCTCCATGGCAACAGCGGTCTGGTCACCTCTCCGGTAGAGGAGGTCTCTAGAGGGGACTGCATTGGGCCCGGAGAGGACGAACTCAGAAAATCCGCTTCTGAAAAAGGGGGGTTTGCGGAATCTCTAAGAGAGCTGCTGGGTAAGATCTGAGCAGATCTGTGAGGAGGTCCGCGGGGTGTCTGGGTTCATGAAGGTCCCTGTAGGATTCCTATGAGCTATCTGTGGGGAGGTCAATGGGTGGTGTGGGGATCTGAGGGGACCGTGGGTTCCGTGGTTTTGGGGTGAGGATAGCAGGGTCTCAGGTAGTTGGGGCGGAGTCTGTCTTCAGCGCTCAGCAGGCCTAAGTTAGAAACCAATAGAAAAGGGCAGGGGCGGGTTTTACTAAGAAAGACCAATCAAAGTGCCCGAGGGGCGGAGCGTCACACCGACGTCAAGCCGAGACTGCCGCCGCGGGGCCTGGTTATCGCCGGTCTAGCGCAGCCGGGAGACGCTCAGGCCTGAACTCCCGCCCAGGTTCCCCGGCCTGGTCCCAGCCAGCCCAACCCCAGCATCCTGCTCGCGAAGACTCCGGAGGTCACATCCTGGGGTTGGGAAGTGGAGCCGCGGGTCAGCTCTGCTAGAGCCCCGCTTTGGCCCTTCGGCCCCGCCCCTGTCCGGGGCCATGGCCCAGCCCTTGTCCCGTCCCCTCGTCCTATCCCGATCGGGGCCTTGGCCCCCGGCCCCGCCCTCGCCCCGCTTCCCAAAACGGTCCCGATCCTGGCCTGGGTCCCAGCTAATGCCGAGGTCCGGATCCCAGTGTCTCCCTTTGCTTCCTTCAGGATCCCAGTCCCTACCCCTGGTCTGGCCCCCATCTCCGCCCCTGCCCTTGTTCCACTCTCTTTCACAAATTCCAGTCCAGCCCCTATCCCAACCCCATTCCCAGTGTTTGCCTACGCCCCTAGCCCAAGCCCTACCCTTGCTCCAGTTCACCTCACAGTTCAGGCTTCCGTCCCATCCTCTATCCTTGTTCAAGCCTCAGTGTCCAACCCAGCCCAACCCATTATCTCAGCCTTTGCCTTCATCCCTGTGTCTACCCAAGTCTCTCCCGATACCCACCCCTCTCTCTCATACCCTGCGCTTCTCCCAGTCCCGACTCAGATCTGGGCTCCAACTGCCACCAGCCCTATTGCTGCTGTTACTCTTCTCTGTCCTTGGCCCAGGGGCTGGTGAGTGAAGACAGGAAAGACTGAGGCAGGGATGGGGCTCTGACAAGGAGGGATGGACTGGAGGGATTCAGGAGAAGGGGGACCTGGGGGACTATATCTTTGGGGGGAAAGTGGGAAAAAGAAATAGGGTGGTGGGAGGTGCTGGTAACTGTGGACCTTGAGGTTCAGCAGTTGTCTCTGACTCTAGATAAGAGACTCCAGTCTTTTATTTCTCCATGTCTAGCCTGGCCCCACCGTGGTGCCTGCTTTCCCTAGGAAGTCTCCAGGACTTTGCTCCTGTTCTCAGAGTTTGATGGGGGAGTTATGGTCTGGCATTTAAGAATCTCTTGTTTATTGTGAAAAGACTGAACTGAAACCTTCGAAATAATCGTTAATACCGGGCATACATTAAAACAGAGTTGAGGAAACAGTTTTAAACATAGTATGTAGCAAACAGATGAACCTGGGTCAGTTGCTATTATAACACATTTTCTTTTAGTGAGTCCAAGCTTGATTTACCCAGGAATAATTCCTGAGACTTTCAGATCAGGGTGGCAAATCATGAGGCCATTTAACTGATGGAAAAACTGAGGCTTAGTAAGGGAGCACTTTGCCCAAGGTCACACGGCTTGTAAGTGGCTGTGCTGGGACTAGAAAAAGGTTTCTTAATTCTTTTCCCAAACTAGTGGTTTTTTTCACTGCAACTTAAGTGGGGAAAGGCTCAAAGCACAACCTCTCTTTACCCTGTCTGTCCACAAGAGGGCTTCATCCACAAAAGCTTCATTCAGCAGATGTCAACCAACCAGTGAGGGAGAGAATTGGATAGGAGGGGAGAGGCTCAACTTCCTAATGGGTGGGAGAATGGAGTGTTGATATAGGAGACATGCCATAAAGATGGCTTTATTCTAAGGAGATGACTATGATCTTCATAGTCTCAGACCTCAGACACTTCTAGTAGGTGGATGGAGATGTGCCTTTGGCAATAACAACTAACACAGCAGCTGGGGGGAGTGGTTCAGTGAGCTTCAGGGGCCTCATTGAGTGTACAAGCTTGAGGACATCAATGCACATCAAAGGTCATGGTTCCTGTAGGTGTGTTTTGCTTTATGCGTCTGAGCATTTGTGTGTGTGTGTGTGTATAATGGAGGGGTCGGAGGCAATGCTGGGCATGTGCAGCACATGCACATGCTTGTGTGTTGGTAAATGTCTGCATGTCTATGTTATTTGTGACCCATGCACAGCTTTTCTTGCACCTCACATGGACAGGTACTGATGTCACTTTCTAAAGTTCCTTGTTGGAGGCAGTTCTGGGTGCTTCCTAGCCCACTCTCCTAAGGCGCTCACTGCTGACCACTGCTGCTGGAAAATTGGGTATTCAGCAGGTTGGTTTTGGTCCTGGGGACTCTAATGCGTATCACCCACCCCTGCCATCTTGGCTTCTTTGTTCATGAGCACAATGAATGAGCACTGGGCTGGCTAGGGGAGGAGGGTGACAGACAGGCACAGATTTGTACAAAGCTGAAAGATGTAGATAGAAACATGATTCACCCAGAGCAGGATTAGTTGCTTTGCTGAGGATTGTAATGAAGTTAGAAAAGAGTACTAAGGAAGTCCAACAGCAGGCAGGGCTGTCCTTCATGCTGTTCCTAGTCACTGCTTGGCAACTGTGACCTGGCAAGCCGGGCAGACCTGGCAGCGTCATAGGACCATCACATTTGGTCTTATAAAATGACATTGCTGGCTTCTCTCGCATTTCAGGAATGGGACTTACCTAGTGGGCTTCCTAGTCTCACCCTTGATCTTTAGGGTCTTCTCCTTGGCTTAGATGACTGCATGCCGTGCTATTTCAAGAAATGATCTTGTGTTCTATCCAGTTTCTGGGTGGTGGAAATGGTTAACTATTGAAGCCCACTCAGAGGTCCCTGGAAGACAGGCCTGACAATACATGTCTAACAGGTCAGAGGCATGAAATCCCTGTGAAACACAGCACTACTCTGACACACATGGGGTTGACAACAGTTAGAATCCGCTTGATGGCAACTGTTTTTTTTTTAAACTTTAAAATTTAAGTGCTATCATAGCTGAGCCAGCCTCAGCCTCTGTGTATGTGTGTGTATGCGTGCGTCTCTCTCTCTCTGTCTCAGATGGTGAATAATCACCTCGCTCCATTCTGGAAGTTCTGGGGCATCATCTATGACAGGTTCATCTGATCTTGGCTAGGGCTTTGTTCATCTGTTCTCTGGTGCATGGCTCTGGTCTACCTGGTTAAAACCACAAAGCTTGGAGTGAATGGAGACTATAGACACTTGACCGAAACTGTTTCGAGTTTCTTCCCAGCACCCCCAGATTACTGCTCACTCTTTCCCCCCTCTATCTGTTCTGTAACCTGGCCACTTTGTGGGTAGCTTATTGTTGCTGTTGTTGTTGTTAAGTGCCGTCAAGTCGGTTCCAACCCATAGCGACCCTGTATAGGGTTTCTGGTGAGATTGAACTGCCGACCTTGTGGTTCAAACCAACTTTGCAAGTTCCCAATTATCCAGGTTATGCCATCGTTTGAGTCACCAAGCTCTTTGTGCATTATCTACCCAGGTTTCTTAAAGGTCACCAGTTGCTTTTCACCACCAGCTCTCCCAGAGTCTGCAATGGGGACCTGGTCAACATCTTTTCCTAATAGTGGTGGTGGTAGTTATATGTCGTGGAATCGGTTCGGACTCATAGTGACCTGGTACAGGGTTTCTGAGGCTGTAAATCTTTACTGAAGCAGAAAGCCTCATCTTTCTCCCATGGAACAGATGTTAGTTTTGACTGACCTTGGGGTTCGCAGCCTGATTTGTAAACACTACTTTACCAGAGCTCCTTTTTCCTAACAGTACCAATGACTAATGAGTTGTCCTAACTCTGGTACCAACTTTAAGAAAGAGCACGCCTTCCCTAACCCCAGCAGAGGGTGCTCTAGTGCCCTGATTTTTATAACAGTAGGGAGCTCTTGGCCTTCTGCCTCCTAGTTGTCAAAATCAGAGTTCCTCGCAGCCTGTCTTGTTCATTGATTGGCTCCATCTCCCTGCATCCCTTCATCCCTCTCTGATACATCTCCACTGCTCTCTGAATGCTGCTAGGGGAGCCCCTCAGCTGTGAGCCTCTTTGGGTTTCTGGGCAGCACTGTGCAAGGGCACACAGCTGAGACTGATGAGGTGACCTGCACTATCCTTTAAAAACAAGGACCGGCAAAGTTAGAGCTAATGATCTCCACTCATTTAGGGCAGCTCCCAGGAGGGTGACTCCTGAGGTTGCTCCATGTCTGCAGAGCCAACCTTCACCAATGTTCCCCTCCAGTAGCCTCCATTTCCCAGAAGTCTCTTTCACTGTTATTTCAGATGCCTCATTTTTGGTGGTATGTCTCTCATCTCCGGAGAGGGAGTGTGAGACTAAGTAAACTCTGTAGGTACATCCTGATGGCTAGAAAGTCCTTGCCCTTGGATACCCTGAAACGACTCCGTTTCCACTCTGTCCTGAAGCTGCTTGAGTTCCCCTCATTCTCACTAGGCCTGGAACATCCTCCTGGGCTTCGCTGGGGCCGGTCCTAAGTCTCCAGAGCAGTCGGCTTTTCCTGTGCTTGTCTTCCCCTCCCCAGCTGAGCAGTTACTGAATTCTTTTCACTACCACAGCAATCTCAGTCCCAATGTGCTGGCCTGGCCAGCTGCTGACCCCAGGCTTTCCTGCTCACTTTGGCTTTGCTCCTGACAACCATGATCAGGTATTTCAGTTAGAGATGACCACTTCCTGTCCCCACCCTCCCCCTTGTTGTTGTGTGCCATGGAGTCGGTTCTGACTCATAGTGACCCTGTATAGGGTTTCTGAGCTACGGGAGCAGAAAGCCTCATCTTTCTCCCACAGAGCAGCTGGTAGCTTCAAACTGCTGACCTTGTGGTTCGGTTCGCAGCCCGATTCAATTTGTAACCACTACATTACCACAGTTCCTTACCCTCCCCCTAGCCTGCTAGAATAAACCCGGGTGGTTTGAGATCCCACTGAGTCACCAATTGACTGCCTAAGTGCTCCCCCTCCCCCACCCCAGAGAAACACCACTAGCTGCTCATTTGAATCCCAAAAAGCCGATTTCTCCTTTTCTTTTTCCTCAGGGGCTCTGTGGTGGCCTACCAGCTCCAGTCCCTGTCTCTGCCACCCAAGCAGGCCCCTTTCAGCCTTGTCACACTTTGCCCTCCCCCTGCTTGCCCTAAGCCAATACACAGACAGCTCTGTGAAGCTTCTGAGGGTTTTTCCTGCTGCTAGCCACAGAGGACCAGAAAGGGGAAGAAAATAAACAGGGAAGTTGTTACACAGGCTCCTGCTGAACCCCACATCCCACAGGTGGAGCTCTCGCCTGCTCAGAGGCCTACGAGTCTATGCCAACACACACCACCCCCTCTGTTTTGTTAGACGGAGCAAGAGGAAAATAATGACTTCTAAGTGAGGGCTAGCTGTGTGTGTGTGTGGGGGGGGGGGCAGAAGAAGAGTCCTGGGTTTGGATTTGTTGGACATGTGTGAACCTTAGTTCATTTTTCACAGGGTCTTTGTGGGAATTAAACCAGAGGATGCCTGGGGCAGAGGAGAACGTTTGTTGAGTTGGTGTGGCTTTTGGTGAAGGAAGACTGGTCTGCTTGTTGCATAATGGAAGTGCCCTGTCCTACCCTACTCCTCTTTCTCTCCTGCTCCCCAGGAGGCCTTTTCCTCACTGATTACTCCACATGCTCACCCCGCAAGCTGAGTCCTTTCCGCTCCTTTGCCAGCACTGAACTCTTCCACTTCCATGTTCCTGAGGACACGTTTCTGGCTGTTTGGAACCTCATCATCTTCAAGGAGCAGGGGGGAACCTTTGGGGACCACTGCCCAGACCAAAGTGTAACTGTGTGAGTGTCTGAGTTAACCTTCTATCCCCACTTCCAACCCTGCACTGCCTACTTTCTAAATGAAAGTGTAGGTTTATGAGTATAAACCAACTTCCTGGCCGGATGGAAGTAAAACTGAGAGAAGACCAGGACCTGGCCACTTTCCTGATTACTGTTATACGTGTGAATACCTTTTGCCCCTATGACCCGACCCCTGACCTGGAACCACTTTGTTGTATGTGTTGTCATGGGGAATCCGGTTGTTTTACTGATAAGTGACACTTCTCCTTTCTCATCCCCATTTCCCCCCTCCCACCCTATTGACGGCTTGCCTTCTCTCCCAATTCTGGTTCCCCAGGTATTTTCGATCCGGGGCACCCCCTGTCATCAATCCTCTGCACACACACTTTCCAGGGGACACAGCAGTGCCTGGGGTTTTCTCACTGACTCTCAGCTGGACACTGCCCAACCGCACCTCAGGCATCTTTAACGTCAGCAGCCCCTTACCTGGGGACTGGTTCTTGGCTGCCCACCTTCCCCAGGCCCATGGCCACATCTCTGTCAAGGTGGGTTGATACTGTCCAGGGCAGGGGATAATGTAGAGCTGCTTCTCCATCCCTGCTGAATTCACTCCAGAGGCTACTACCTATCATACCGTAGGCAACAACACAAAGGGGGCTGGGATAGGACACAGCTAGAAGCTAGCATGTCATCTGGGTATAATATGGTGGCTAGTTGGTTATCTGGGTGGGACCAGAGGCCACAATCTGAAGGAGTCAATTTGGGAGTGTCCTAAAGGACACAGTGGGTCCAGGTAAGCTGAAGGGAAAGTCCACAGTCTGGAATCAGAAGCCTTGGCACTGGAGAGAGCGCCTATTCTTATAGTCAAGGGTTACTGAAAGTGATCAGAAGCTAACTAGAGACTAGTCAGATATTGCTGCACAAACCTAGAACTGGTCTTGCTCTACATCTTAGAAAGTGATAGCTCTGAAGACTCTGGCAGGCTGCAGTCCAGTCTAGTCCATCTGGGAAATACATTCCTCCCTATCATCGTTTCAGACAGCTCCCAGCTCCACATGGAAAGAAAGCCATAGGGGACCAACCACCCTGAGGCAGAGAAGCCCTTTTCTATTAATAGGAGGCTTGAGGTAGTTGGTGTCTATTTTGACTGTTGCCCCCCCCCTTGCCCCTTTATATCAGCACTGATTTCATAGAACAGAGGTTTTAAAAATGTGAAGGGTAGGGTCCAAGGTCAGGATGTTCCTCCATTCTGGTTCAGAGGGAAGGAAACTCCACATGTTTTCCTGCCACCTGTAAGTGTTGGGCAGACCAGAAGTCCTCCTTGTACTGAGGGGATATGTGTTTCTTACTCTGTCCATTGGAGGACAGTATGTGATGAGCTGGCCACTGTCAGTGTGGGGTGGCCATATACGTGGGGTCAGTGGTAAGGGTTAAGGGCTGAATGAGGATGTAAAGAACAAGAGCGTGATAGGGCTTAGGCCTGGAGAATTCAGAAGGGCAGAAATGCCCAAAAGGATGAAGATTTGATTTGGGTATGTCCTTGAGGGCAGAGACTGTAACTGTTAGACACACCTCACTTCCTGCTTTGGTCCAGTCTTCTCTGGTGTCAGTTGTTGTTGTTAAGTACCGTGGAGTCGGTTCTGACTCATAGAGACCCTGCACAGGGTTTCTGAGGCTGTAAGTCTTTACAGGAGCAGAAAGCCTCATCTTTCTCCTGCGGAACTGCTGGTAGTTTCAAACTGCTGAGTTTCAGGTTAGCAGCCCAACTCTTAACCACTATGCTTAGCTGAAACTTACACAGGACTAGAGATGGGTGTTGTGTGCTTGTTAGGGCATCTCAAGACCTCAGTGATGGGACTGCTGTTTTTTTTCTAAGAGTGATGTACAAAAGAACGTTTTACCAAGGTCTGGAAGCCCCCTGGATGAGAATATGTTGGGAACTCACCTGGAAGGGCTCTGGGTGCTAGGTAAGCCTTGATTCCCAACAGAACTAAGGGGTTTTCTCTAAGGAGTAATAGCCTCACAGTTCTATCGCTAAATCCCACAGAGCTTGTCCCTTATCCCAGTTCTGAGCTTTGATTATGTTAGTTGGAATTGACAGGGAAGATTCTTTGGAAGTCCTGTTCTGGGTGAGCAAAAAGAGGAACCTGGGGCGCAGTCCTAAGCCTGAGCCACTGGCTGAGAGAGGTCAGGGTTTCTTATGGCTGTCAGACTAAAACAATGGGGAACTGAGGTAACAGCTCAGAGAAAAGCTGACCAGAGCTAAAGGATGCTTCAGTGTACCAAGGGAGCTGGGCAGAGAGAAAGGAACCAGGCCAGATAGCCTATTTACATACATCAAGTTATAGCAAGTGGGGGCTGGGAGACTTCATTCTGCAAGCTGGAACCCTATTCAGTAGAGCTCCTCAGGAGTGCGTGTGATCTTAGGAGAAGACAGTTATACCCTCTCTTCTCGCTAAGTTATAAGTGGCAGCAGGTCTGTTGTAGAGGTTAACAGGGTCTTGTCTGTGGTCCCTCTAAGAATTTGGCTACCTTCTAGAATCTTTTCTGGTGTGGCACTATAGGATAAGCACTGGACCGCAAGATCAGTTTGAACTGCAAGCTCACTGTTAAAACCCACCAGTCACTCCTTGGAAACCATATACAGGGTTGCTATGAGTCACAGCCGACTTGATGGCACTTAACAACAACAAGGCTTCTAAAGTTCTCTAGATTCTGTTAATTTTTCAGACTAAAGCCTGTGAGTGAATTTTCTAGAGCTTTCTTCCAGGGCTCCATCATAGCATGCTTCCTCCTTGTAGCATGGTCCAACACAGGAAGTTATGTGGGATCGAGATCCTTGGGTCAAAACTAGCGTCCCAGAGATAAGAAAGCCGTGTTGTTTCTAGGGCTCTCCGCAGCTTTGTGAATGAGCTCAGGCTTCCCTTTAGCCCTTAGTCTTTGAGCACCTTCTCTGTGTCCGGCCTAAGGTTGAATTCTGGGGACACAGAGAGAAATAAGATAGATGTTAGTGAGAGGTAGGAGAGATGGCTAACTCAGGTTGGTAGTGTAGTGGAGGTGGTGTTAGACACTGTTGGGGAGTGAGGCCTACTATAGAGAAGGCAGGGAAAGGTTGTGCCAGTAGCATGGACCAATGTTATTCTCACCACCTTTCCTTGCTGTCTCAATAGCAGGCCCAAACTTAGAGATGAGAACTGAAGTGGTTCATTGTGGTCCAGGTGTTGGGGCAGGTGTGGGAGCTGCAGGGGTGAGCAGAGACCAGATCTATAGGGAGAGTAATAGGGACCCTTGAAAGGTTGTATAAAAGGGAAATAACTTAGCTGGTTCAGGCCCCTTTCCTGAGCTCTAGTCTGGTATTTAGGGTAGGCCTTTTGTCAGTGTTCCTAGTACCCAGTAGAGGGCCGGGCGCATAGTTTTTGTTGCCTTTTCACCACTTTCTTAAACTCATAGTGTTCTAAAAGGGTTTCATTTTACCCTCCTCTCTTTGTTCCCTTCTTTCTGTCAACCACTTCTGTCTTGCCCTCATGCCATCTCCTTGCCTTTCTTGTCTTGGATCATGTTTTCATCCTAGGGTGCCCAGCTGCCAGTTTGCCCCAAGGAGCTAGCTTTTTGGTTGTGGGTACTATCTGGCACCCAAGTGACTCATGAGAGGAAGGTTCTCCCAGATGTCTAGGGCACACGCTTTCCTCTTCCTTGATCTAAGATAGAAAAGAAAGCAAAAAACAGGTAAAATAATGAAAACAACTGTAAAAAAAATCAAAGAAGCAGATGACTGTAGAACAGGAAAGGATTCTGTTGAATCTACCATCCAAGACCAGTGATGGTTCAATAGTGCCACAGAAGTGATTAAAGTCTGCTAACAGTCTTCCTTCTCTCCCTCCTCTTTCTAAGTTATTTCATTTATATTTTGAATAGGTAATATATGCACCTGGTACAACATTCGAAAGGTACGAAAGGCATACAATGAAAAGTAAGTCTTTCTCTTCCCTTCTTCCCCTTCCAGTTCCCACTTCCCCTCCCCAGAGTTAACTAGCAAATAGCTATTAACTAGTTCCTGATATGTTACTGTTTTCTTCTTGAAACACTTTCTCCTCTTGGCTCTTGTGACTGCACAAGTGCCTGATTTTCCTCCTGCCTCCCCAGCCACTCCTCTTCTATCTCCTTTTCTGGCTTCACCTCTGCTGGCCCTCTGTGTGTTGGAGTACTCCCAGGTATTGGCTCTGGAATGATTCCTTTGTATTTCTGCATTGTCTTCCTAGGAGCCTCCAGTAAAAGTTTTAAATACCATCCATAAGTGAATGCCTTTCAAGTACATTCAATTGGTTCTAATTTCTCTGAATCTCAGACTTTGTTGTTGTTGTTAGGTGACTTTGGCATCTCCAGTTAGATGTCTAATAAGTATCTCAAACTTAGTGTGTTCAGATCAAAAGCCAAACCAAAGGTTAAAAACTCTTCAATTTCGCCCAGTTCAAGCCTCTTTTTTCTCTAGTGTGTTTCTCTTCTCACTCTCCTCAGTAAATGGCATTGCCATTCACCAGTTGCTCAAGCCCCAAATTGAGATGTCATCCTGGATTCTTCTTTTCCCCTCATTCTACTACACACAATACAGAAAGTCTTGTTGACTCTTCTTCCATTAAAACTCTTAGTACACCTTCCCTTAGCTTGCTCCAGAACCACTTCAGTAACCTCCTAAGTGATCTCCCTGCGTCCACTCTTGTTTCCTGTAGTCTGTCCAACACTTCCATGGTGACTGAAGCTGAGAAGTGGGTCAACGGCTGTGCTGGGGACTGGGGCTGCTCCCATGGAGAAGATTATCTTTGACCATCTTCAGGCTGTAAGCCCTATCCAGAGCCTTGTCCTGGTCATATCCCACTCAGGCCTCTTTAAAGGAACTCAGCCTACCCTTCCCAGGACGTTCTAGGGCTCCAGCTGCCTTCCACTCCAACAATCTGAAGGATTGTTCCCCAGCTCTACTTCTGTTTCTTGTCTCTTCTGGTTTCTCAGGCTTCCTTTGGCTTGATTCCTTTTATGATTTCTGATTCTGGCTTACCCTCTGCATGGGTTACTCAGTTTTGATTCTCTTATTTGGCTTCTGCTTTGTCAGCTATGAACCTTGTTTCTGGTGCCCATTCTCTGGTCCCATTCACAAGTGTGTAAAGGGCACCACACCGCTTCACCTTTCCTGGTCCTCACTGGCAGAACCTTCCCCTTAAGGGAGGGGTATTGGATGTGCATTTTATATACTTGAGGGAAGGAGTACCATCTTAACCAGAGAAGTCATGTACACCGATCTTTCTGTTAGTCTAACAGGTTAGTCTTTCTGTTAGTGTAAGCAAAAGGTTGAACAGTGTTTCTTGCCCCTAGACTGCTAGCAAGGAAATGGGTTACCTCTTGAGCATGACCCCCCCACGCTTAGGGCTCATTTGCTACAAGATAATTGGAGTGAGGATTCCTTCCTTAGGAGGTTGGGTTGATGAAAGGATTTGTGAGGCGATTTCTAGTCCTTTGTTTTAAGGTGCCATCAAGTTGGTACCGACCCATAGCGACCTTATGCACAGCAGAACGAAACACTGCCCGATCCTGGGCCAACCTCACTACTGTTGCCATGCTTGAGTCCATCGATGCTGCCACTTGGCCAATCCATCTCATTGGGGGTCTTAGGGTTTGACAATATAGATGGGGGTGGGGAGACACATCTGCTTTAGAGATCTGAGATGGAGATCTCAGCAAGTATGTGCTGTCGGGCGCTCTCTGGGGGCATCCTCTTCTTGACAACCATTCTTTGATTTTTTAGCACATGTCAGGTGGTATACTAGGTGGTGGGAAGGCAGTGATGGGAAGACACAGAAAGGGGAGGATGAGATCCTGGCATCTGTCAAACCTTCTTCTGGCCTGCTGGGGCTTTTGCTGGAAGCCAGGACCTTGGCTGACTTGTACCATGGCATGGGACTTACTAGAGTTATCAGGGCCTGGAACTTTTGTCCCAGACAGGGCTTGGAGTATGTACAGATTAGAATAAGCATCTAAGTCTTGGTTAGAATAATCGTATAAGTGAGGAAGTGAATGGTTTATTAGATCAGTATTAGACCATTTGTTCCGAAGATCAGGTAAAGCCAATTAGGAGCCCTTTCCTTTGATGAACTGTGAGGTCTGGAGGGCTCAGACAGCTGCAAATATTTAGGAAGAGGAGCCATAACAAAGAGTAGCTTTGCTCACTGAATATTGATGAGGCTGGGAGGCTCAGAGGGTGGTGTCCATTGAACAGAGAAGGGCCTATGATTTCACCAGAGGGAAGAGAAGCTGGAGGATGTGGTGGTTCTATTCTTAGAACAGAAGAGACCTGGGAACACATAGATCTGTGGACTCCCTGAGGGCAAAACTTTAGGAGAACATTGAAGACAGTAGGTTTTGACTTCATAAAGGTCAGAGCTTCCCCACCTGGATTAATTCACTTATTTATTCAGCAAGCATTCTTCAGTTAAGTCTGCACTTTCTGCGAGGCCCTGTGTGTAGGAGAGCAGAAATAAGACAAGATTCCAGTTCTCAAGTTGCATATACTCTAGAGGTTGCCTTGGGAGGCGTTAACTAGGGGTGTTAAAGCAGAGGCTGGATAAGCATTTGGAAGGGGGCAGGGTGTAGAGTAAAGGAAATGAAAGCTTTACATTGATGGTGGTAGAGGGAGGGGTTTGGACTGGAGCCCTTTAAGGAGTTTTCCAACCCAAAAGGAGAGCCAGTGATCTAAATTCCGGAGAGGGGTGGAGTGGTTGGCTCTGCCCAGGAATGCTCAGGAGGAGGGTTAGACTGGAGTAGGATCAGGTAGGACTAGAATGTCTGGAGGACTTGGGGGATTGAGTCAGAAAACCTCAGCCTTGCTGAGGATCCTGGCCGACTGAGGAGGGCAGAGGTGAAAGTTAGAAATGGCTGTTGAGGCAGCATGGACCCAGAGCGGAGAGATACTTTGGTTAGACTCCTGAGAACTGGAGACCAAGGGGCTCTCACCCTCCCCGCAGCAGATGGTTTGCTGTGGTTTAGTAGCATCCCTGCTGTCTCTCCCCTCCTGCCACCACTGCTTTCCTCTCAGGGTCTCCAGGATGAGTGTCAGTACCTTCTGCAGCCGCAGCTGATTGTCCGGCGTTTGCTGGATGTGGCTGTGCTGCTTCCCGGCCGTCTCTCAGAACAGACCCTCTGCCCCCACAATCGTTCAGCCCTGTTCAAGTAAGTCAAATACTCCCCCAAACCTAGCCCTTTTCCTCTTCCTTCTCCTTAACCTCAAATAGGGAGGTGGGTTCTCTCTTGACTTCTCAGCTCTCCTTCCCACCCATCGGTGCTACCAGAACCCCGGGGTGGGTGGGATTCCTGCCTTCCTCTCACAGCACAGATCTGGAGGAGCTCATAAGTAGCCCTCGTCTTCCTTCCGTCATCCATCCCTTCCATGGCCCCTGCTTCCTGATGTTCTCATTCTGGTGTCCCTTTCACAGCTCTGCTCCCTTCTGCTTTCTTACCCCCACCTCTTCCCTCTGCCCAGGGTCTTTGTGCCCAGCTTCACTTACAGGGTTTCAGCACAGCTGGTGTGTGTGGGGGGCCGGGGGGCATCCGCCTGCCCCCTGACCCTGCGCCTACGTCCCAAGGCCCCACCCCTGCACAACTCAAGCTCTGTGACTTGTGGAGGTGCCTCAGCATGTCAGCTGGAGCTGGCATTGCCCCCCTGGGGGCACTGGGTCTACGTGCGCGTGGAGACACCATCCCGGGGTCCTGGCAGGACCATTCGCTTCCAGCTGTGTGTGCGGTTACAAGGTCAGAACCCCTATATTTGTACCAGCCAGCCCAGTCTGTGCAGCTACCCATTGCTGGGAAGAAGCAGGCATGGGAGGCCAAATACACTGACTTTCTACCATGCCTCTACCTACAATCTCCTCAGCCCCTCCCAGCCTCCTCCACACTTCCTGAAGCTCTCCCACTTGAAGCTTTTAAGTCATTGGAAGACCTTCAGATCACTTTTTGTTCCTGACTTGGGACTAAGCACTGGACTACTAGTTATAAGGTCAGCAGTTTAAACCCACCAGCTGCTTCATAGGAGAAAGATGAGCCTTTATGCTCCTATAAAGATTTATAGTCTTAGAAACCCTGTACAGGGTCACTGTGAGTTGGAATTGATTTGATGGCAGTGAATTTTCGTTTTTAGTTTGTTTTTTTAAAGGAGCTCATAAGTAGCCCTGATGGTACAGTGGCTCTCTCCTTTAACCCGCTGGCCTTTCTGGGAGAGAAAAGCCTTGGCTATCTGTTCCCATAAAGATTACGGCCTAGGAGGCCCTCTGGGGCAGTTCTACTGGGTCATGTAGGGTCACTATGAGTCAGAATTGACTTGATGACATACAACAACAACAAGGGACCTCATCACTATCTTTGATGTAATTGCTTTCAGTTTTCTGGAAGGCAGAGATAGCCAGGACCTCGAGCTCCACTGCCCTTTGTGAAACGTGTGCAAGTGCTCGAGAGAGGGCTCACCACACTTAGTTTTTGTCTCCCTTGGGGGGACAGAGGACAGGAGACCTTCATTCCCTCCAACATGACATTCCAGTAGTTGTGGCCACTGGGAAGCCCCTGGGCCCCATCATGTGACCCTGGATGAACATACAAGGGACACACATGATCATAATTCTCATTCTTTCCCACCTTTGTTCAATCCTGTTTGATTCAACTCTGGTTTGGGGTGGGGTTGCAGGCTCCAGCTCTGGTTTCCTCTGCCCTACAGAATGTCCACAGCCCAGCCTATCCCGTGCCCTGGTCCCTGGAGCTGCTATGAATATGCCCCAGTCACTGGGCAACCAGCCATTGCCCCCAGAGCCTCCGTCCCTTGGGGCTACTGCGGAAGGGCCTGGGGCCACATCCCCACCTGAACACTGCTGGCCAGTGCGCCCAACGCTGCGCAATGAGCTGGATACCTTCTCGGTGCACTTCTACATCTTCTTCGGCCCCAGCGTAGCCCTTCCGCCAGAACGTCCAGCTGTGTTTGCCTTGAGGCTGCTGCCAGTGCTGGACAGCGGAGGCGTCCTCAGTTTGGAGCTCCAGCTCAATGCGGTATTCTTTGCCCAGAGGAGGGAGTTGTTCAAGGGGGAACTCCAAGGGGAAGGTGTCAGGGTGTGGTGGGGCCCTTAACTCCTCCAGGGAGTCTGCCTAGGTTGTTTGCACTTAACCTTAAAGTTAACACCAAGTCTCAGCCCAATTCTGATCAGAAAACATGCTCTGAGTATTAATTCTGCCAGAAATGGGCTGGGTCAATAGGGCAACTCAGGACTGGAGGGGCTTTGGCAGTTTTGTAGACTATCTTCCACTTTCTTTTGCGTATCTCCAGTGGTGGGGTGCTCACCATCTCTTGAGACCATGCCGTCCATGCCTGGGCAGCTCTGATTGCTAAAGGTTTTCCTGATACTCTATCAGATCTGCCTCCATGCATTTGTATTCTATGATCATTGCTTTGCCCCAGGAGCCATATCCAGTAGATCTATCCCTGTTCTGTTTTCACAGCTGTCCAGATGACCCTCAACCTCCCCAAAGCTGAACAGTTTCAGTGTCTTAGGCGTAGCTCAGGGATCCTGGATTTTAGCCCCCTCCCTATCCTTCATGGAATCCTGGTGTGGCGCTGTACGCGTCAAACTGTAAAGCCGTTTGAACTGCAAGGTCAGTGGTTCAAGCTCACCAGCTGCTCCTTGGAAACCCTATATAGGGTCGCCATGGGTCAGAATCGACTTGACGGCACAACTACCCTTCACTTTCTCCTGTGGTCCGACTTGTACTGGTCATTGGGTCTCTAAAGTAAGTGATTTAAGGTGGTTTGACTAGGGAGGCAGGCAGGCAGTGGATCTGGCATTTGTTCAGCCAGAGATCAAGTTATCTATTCTGACTGTTGCATCACACTGTGGGAGCATCTGGGCTTCTGGTGAACCAAGTCTCCTGGGGCTTTTTCCTTTATTTCCTTTTTGTTTTCTTCAAAATAGTTACCAAATTTACTCTTTTATTATAGAGTAATGTACAAACTTGGGAAAGTAGAGGAAAACATTCTCTTAACACAGCTGCTTAGCTTTTTGGAAAGAGCCCTTTGCCACACTAAGTGCTCTGTTATTCTAGTTGTAATAACAAGAGCACACACTGCTTGGTGGCCAGGCCTGGTTCATGTGAACTGCTACCAATTTCTGCCTTGTCTTTTTTGCAGTGAATTTTTGAAACTGCAAAGAAGTTTCAAAAAAACTGTAAGAGTTGGATGTAGGAATTAAGCCCACTCTTACAGCATTGCCTAATATTGGTTTGGCCCTTCCCCTTTTGGAATATTGATTCTCTTCTCTGCTTTGTGTAACTCACATACTTAAAAAAGCCAACCTTCTTCACTTCTTATTGTCTGAATTGAATAGGACTGGGCTAGGGGCAGAGCTCTGTTCTGCTCCTAGAATCTTCTTCAGTTGGACATTGATCCAGTAATTTAACAGTTCATCCCTTACCTAGGGATCCTTCTAACTCTTCTCTCTAGCTCTGAGGGCAGAGCCCACTTTTCCCATCAGCAGACCTGAGGTCTGTAGCTTGGTGTGACATTTTATGGGACATAGCTCAGAACTTTCTAGAGGTCCTGCTAGTCAGGACAAAGCTAGTTCTTCAGCCTGAATACATTCCTTATTTTCATACTCATATTCTTTCTGATTCTGTTCCAGCAAAGACTGCATTTTGTGTATGTTTACTGCCATGTGTTTGAGAGTTGTTTTTTTTTTAATTATTAAAAATGTATTTATTTATTTTGTTGTTGAGAATACACACGGCAAAACAGACACTAATCCGACAGTTTCCACACGTACAATTTAGCGACAGTAATTGCATTCTTGGAGTTGTGCGACCTTCTCACCTCCCTTCTGAGTTGTTTTCTCCATTAGCAAAGATTCATTGTCTCCCCCCACCCCCTTGGAGTTGCTGTTGTCAGTTTGATCCAATATAGATCGTTATTAACAGAAGATAATGCTTAAGGTAGACATTTTTTTTACTAGTTAAGGTAAACTGATGTTTGTTTGTAAGAAAATTTGGGGGGATATTTGTAGCTTCAGGCTTAAAGCATATCTCAGGGCATTAGTTTCAGGTGTTCATCCAACCTTCAGGGCCCCAGGAAGTCAATAGTGTATGAGAATTTGAAATTATGTTTTACATTTCCCTTCTTTTGATCTGGATTCTCCTATGGAATTCTGTGGATCAAAATGTTTGGTAGTGCTTGCTGGGCACCATCCAGTCCTTCTGGTCTTGTGGTAAAGGAGTCAGTTATTCGGGGAGACAATTCACCACACCTTCCATATTCTTCCTCTGTTGCTCCAGGTGACTCCAAACCAATTGTTGTGCCCTGGATGGCTGCCTGCAAGCTTTTAAGGCTCTAGATACTATGTAACAAACTAGGAGGCAGAACAGAAGCAGTGACCTAACGTTGTTAGGTCAATTCATTGGCATGTCCCATGAAACTATGACAGTAAATCTCCAAGCCAAGGAAGCAAATGTCATGAGGTTTTTGGTTATACATAGCAGACAGTGAGGTTTGATTTGACCTTGACACTATAGATCTAGATTCAGAGTCCAGTCCCACACCCATACTTATTCTTTCTCAGTGTCCTGAGAGTAGAGGCCTCTTCCTCATGCTGACCCTCTCCAGTTCTCCATTTACATTCTACCCATCTGCATGCTGTGATCCTTTTGACATTCCTCAGTCTGTTATATTTATTCTGAAAGATATATTGGTACATCTACTTTGATAGGTAGACTATGTTTCTCTCCAAATAATCTGATTTTTTCCCTTGAACATTTGGATCAGAGAACTGCATACCTAGATGACAATTTCCTCCTCCCTTTGGTCCCCTCCTAGAAAGACAGACTTCTACTGAATAATAACTGTTTTATTGCCCTGGGCTTCCATTGAGGGAATCTATATGCAACTTGTTTGAAGCACAGGCTGGCCATTGAGGACAGAAGACTGACCAGACACAGTCTTCACCTGCTACCCACCCCTTTGGGTGCAGTGCATCATCACCTGAGACACTGATGAAAAACTTTTCTCTTGCATGGATGCACAACTCTGGTGACACATCATGTTTCCTTCTCTGCCTGGGTCCTTGGAAAGTCAGCATCAAATGTATGGCCCACATCTAGGGACAGACTTTTTTTTTTTTTACCACACTGATCTTTTAATTTCCATCTTACATTGATTGTGTCTTGTTATATGTACTTAATAAGCTGCCTGAAATCCTTGCTGAATGAGGTAAGGTGAGTTTATGGTCTCCTGTTACCTTGATTTTTGTAGATGGCCCCTGTGACTATCCGGTTAAGTTTCATCCCAGCCGGGTTGTTACATTTAATTCCTTAGGCATTCTACCACCTATTAGGACCCAAGGATCATTGCACCTGCAGGCGTTGCTTTACACGCCTGCCTGCAGACCCAGGTGAAGCTGACTGCAAGCCTTACAGTTCTCATGGTTCACAACTGGTTTCCATATCCAGCCACTTCCCAGGTCCTCATGCCCAAGCCCACCCCTAAGCTAGTTAGTACCAGATAAGAGACTGTTCTCTGTGGCCTGGAAAGAGTTTAAACAATTCTGCCCAAAAAAGGATTCAGAACTGGGTTCTTACCTTCTCAGTATTTTTGAAAAATTACTGCTATAGAGGTCCTAATCTTTCTTCCAGTGTTCTGTCCTAAGACTGGAGGAGAGAGGCATCTGCAGGAATAGGGTGTCCACTGAGGACCTGAAGGGGCATCTGGGGAGGGGGTGACCAGAGTAGAGGTCTGGGGGTGGTGGTATCATGGACAGGAGGTAATGGCCTCATCTCCAAACCTGCTCTCCCCAGAGCTCCCTGCATCAGGAAAATGTTACAGTATTTGGATGCCTGACTCACGAGGTGCCCTTGAGCCTGGGGGATGCAGCAGTGACGTGTTCCAAAGGTAGGGGTGAGGAATGTGGGAAGGACACGGGGCTGGAAATCTTGGGTTGGGGGCGTGGGGGTGGTATGGAGGCCAGTAGCTAGGGTCTGGAGAAAAAGGGGTAGGTGGGTGAGGGTTCTTTGTGTCCCAACACCACACTGATCCCTTTTCCTCCTCCTCACTGACCCCTCCCTTTCATTCTCCCAGAGGCCCTGGCTGGCTTCCTCCTTTCTGTCAGTGCCACCTCCAGAGTGGCTAGGCTTCGAATCCCCTTCCCCCAGACGGGGACCTGGTTCCTGACCCTCCGCTCTCTGTGCGGGGTGGGACCTCGGTGAGTGGCAGTGGCTGGGTGGTGGGGAGGGGCCTGAAAAGGAGCGGACCTGGCCCCCAAGTAACTGCCAAGTATGTGCCCAGGTTCGTGCGGTGCCGGAATGCGACTGCAGAGGTGCGGCTACGCACCTTCCTGTCCCCTTGTGTGGATGACTGCGGGCCCTATGGGCAGTGCAAGCTGCTGCGTACACACAACTACCTGTATGCGGCCTGCGAGTGCAAGGCTGGTGAGCAGACTGTGGTGGGCTTCCTGGAAGGAGAGGGGACAGTGTCAGCCTGGATAGGTGTGAAGAGAACGGGAGGGCAGAGCCAGGGTGAAACCACCCTCAGGGGGCAGTAGTGTCTGCTGAAGCCCTGGCTGCCTTCTCCTGCCCTCTTCACTCTGCCCTCCCCACATTCAGGGTGGCGGGGCTGGGGCTGCACCGACAGTGCGGATGCACTCACCTATGGATTCCAGTTGCTGTCCACACTACTGCTTTGCCTCAGCAACCTCATGTTTTTGCCACCCGTGGTCCTGGCCATTCGGAGTCGATACGTGCTGGAAGCAGCTGTCTACGCTTTTACCATGTTCTTCTCCACGGTATGCACTGGCATCTGTCTCTTCACCATGTCCTTTTTCATGGTGGTAGATGAGGAGCTATACTTCCACCACATTCTATAGAGGCTGAGGATGTCTGTACCCTTATAGTATGAGGATATGTCTCCCTTTCACTGTGTCTTCTGCAGTAGTGCCTCCCAGCCTTTCCATATCCTGACATGCAGAGGATGTTTTCTATACTTTTTTTAAGGCAGACTGCTTGCAACTTAAGATAGCTTGCTTGGAAGCTCCAGCTGCCCCATATTCTCCCTGCTTGGCCACCCTGAGGGTGGAAGAGACAGTTACCTTAGCACACTGGCTGTGTATTGAAGGCCTGTGTCTACAGTATGGAATTATGTCTAGCCGTCACCAGTTCTTCTGTGTCTGGGGGCAAGTATGTCTCCATACTCTGCTTGGAGAGTCTTGACCTTTATCGGGGTCTTATATGATAGGAAGGCTAGCTATATGGTTCTCCATGGACCTGGCAGTTTCTACAGTCCTGATGTGCTGCTGTCAGATAAGTACTGGACTACTAACTGTTGGTTGCTATGAGTCGGAATCAACTCAATGGCACTTAACAATAACAACAACAACAGCAGCAGCATGTTCTTTCTTATGGTCTGAAGGGTGTCTTCCCTTTCACTCACCATGGCCTCCTGAATTCTCATGGGGAAATTTGGAAGACAAAGAGAAGGTTTATAACTGGGTAATTTATAGAATAGTCTAGATCTTATAATCCTAAGAACTGTTATGAACCCTGCGGAATCATGGGAAGTGGTGGTTGTTAGGTGCCATGGAGTCAGAAGCAACCTTATGTAGAAGAGAAGGAAAGAAACATGGCCCTGCACCATCTTCAAGGTTGTGTGATACAGAATTCCAGCTCCAAGGAGTGTATTTTGGTGAAGGGTACTATGCATTAACTCTTTCGTTGCCATTACAGAATTCCCACAATTCCTTCTCAGTGTTGTCCAACTCCTCCGTAATCAGGAAAATTCACATTATAGGGAAAGGTAAAGCAGCGAGTCTGCTAATGTGACTTTAACCCCAATTTAGACTTTTCCCCCATGAGATGCCACATTCAGGGATCTTTTCATTTCATCTTTAGGCTGTTGGTACTTGTGACATACATTGCCTGCTTTGAATACTGCAAACATCTTACTTCACAAACCCAGTATATGCCTTCCTGGTGTCCAGCATGATGGATCCGACTTATGTCCATATTATATGCATCCTGCATATCACCCCGGAGAAAGCAGAGCAGATGGCCTGAACCTGAGAGTCCGGAGCCCTTCCACAGATGAGGAAGGCCTTTCCGTGCTGTGTAGAGAACCCTTGTTGTTTTAACTGGCTGAGAAACATGTGCATCCTCAATTCTGCTTGGCTATCCTCTTCTAGGCCTGTTGCAACGATGTCTCATTCTATTTTTATATTAGACACTGTTTCTCTTTTGTATTCGCCAGATGCCCTTTATATGTACTGTTGCTCACCAAATCCTCTAGCAACAGATGGTCCACCAGCCCACTCCTGGCTACATGCAGAGCTAATAGGATCCCCAATTAGCAAGAGTACCTAAGGAGCTTGGCACATGTTGTGAAAGCATATTCATTCTCCTGGACTTTTGGCACAAGTGTCCTGGGTACTGACTACAGAGTGTTCACTTCTGATCACTCCTCCTCTTCGGGATACAATGACTTTCCCTCAGGAGGAACACTATAGGAACCGAAAGTGCCTGGCAGTACATAAAGTGCTCCCACTTTCTTAAACAAGGCAGTCAGCAAAAGAGTAAGACAAAGATTATGGCTCTGGGATCTTGCCTTAACTAACTCCTGCTTTTCTTCTGGGGATTTTTCTATAGGAGCCAAAATGGAGAGCTGCCAGTCATCTAGTTCTCCTGGGCAGGTCCCTTGTCTCCCCAGTCTCCTATTCTCTACTTTGTCTGGGCATGCTTCATTGCTCACCAGTCTCCATTTGGTCACATGTGGGCCACAGTGCTCAGATGTGCTAGGTGACGACCACTTCATTCCTTCTTAAGTCCTGCTCAGACTACACCTGAGAGTAGTCCCTCAGCCCCGAGCCAGGACATCGGAGCAGATAGTGGGCTTGTTCTTCAGGAGCTTACAGATGTAAAATGTGTATAAAAAGCAAAAAACAAAAGCAGGTCACAAATCCAGTACTTGAGGGTTTTTTTTTTAAAAAAAGAGATTTTATGGTTTATTAATCCTCTGGTGAAAAATCCACGCAATCATAATATTATGATTAAGTCACAGCAGACTTTTTATTCCTTCTTTTTGCCAGCACTAACATTGGCCTTGAAGTCCCCTTGCTTTCTTCATTCTGTGCTTGTGTTCCTTATTCTGTTTTTTTTTCTCATACAGGCCATGTCTTGCAAGTCTGTGTATGGGTTCATTTCTCTTTGCATAATCCAAGGAATCAGAATCATGCATGCCCAAGCCAGTAGTCTTGCCACCACCAAAATGGGTTCTGAATCCAAATGCAAAGATAACATCTGGTATCATTTTATACGTTTTGGCAAGTTTCCCCCTAATTTATGTCTTAGGTAATATTGCCTTCCCAGGGTGAAGGACATAAGTGACTATTTATTTCCTCTAAAGTAGTCAGTTGGTCATGAGCGTCCCAGTCCAGATAGTTACTGGGTCATTCATGATGGCAGCAGACATTCAGGCAGCCAGGAGGGAAAAAGGCACTTGCCTGAGTTTGTATAGCCAAACAGTTCAAGTAATAATAACAGTACACTAACATCCACGGAGTCCTGGTGTGTGGTGTTGTAGGATAAGCACTCTACTGCAAGGTCAGTTTGGACTGCAAGGTCGGTAGTGCAAATTCACCAGCTGCTCCTTGGAAACCCTGTACAGGGTTGCTGTGGATTGGAACGGACTCGATGGCACTTCCCAACAACATCTACTGTGGGAGTCCTGGTAGTGCTGTAGGAGGAGCCCTGCCACGAGACTGGCAGTTTAAATCCACCAACCACTCCTTGGGAGAAAGATGAGGCTTTCTGCTTCTGTAAAGATTTATAGCCGCAGAAAGCATATACAGGGTCTCTATGAGTCAGAGTTGACTGCATGGTAGGGTTCTGTTTTGTTTTTATTGTTTTTAAAAACATCTACTAAATTCTTTCTGTGAGTCAGACACAGTGCTAATTTAATCCTCACATTGCCATTGAGTCAAGTATGACTCATAGTGATTCTGATTCATCGTGTCCCTATGTTGTTGTTGTTGTTGTTAGGTGCCGTCGAGTTGGTACCAACCCATAGAGACCTTATGCACAGCAGAACGAAACACTGCCCCATCCTGGGATAGAACAGAGTAAAATTGCTCCATAGGATTTCCTAGACTGTAATCAGAAGCAGACTGTCACTTCTTTCTTTTACGAGTGACTGGTGGGTTCAAACCACTAACCTTTTAACCAGTGCCATCAGAGCTCCTTAGTTCTCACAATAGCACTATAATAACTGGTGTTCCTCGTGACCCTGTACAGGGTTTCGGAGACTGTAAATCTTACCAGGTTACCAGGGATCCTTATAATAACTGGGTGGTGCTGTAGGATAAGATTGGACTGCTAACTGCAAGGTCAGTGGTTCAAACCCATCAGCCACTCCAAACCCTATGTCACTGCGAGTTGGAACTAATTCCATGACACACAACAAAAACAACAACTTTTATTATCATCCTTTTTTTTTTTTTTACAGATGAGGGAAGGTTAAATACTTTGCCTAAAGCATAAGGTGAGTGGTAGAGCCAAGATTCTCACTTAGCCTTACCACACATTCCTCCATGGAATCACTGAACTACACTGTTCTGGGCAGTCACTGAGCTTTCACTGATCACTTTAAACCTGACTTCCGTTTCTCAGAAGTCCTGAATTTTATATAGAAATTTATAGCCCCCAGTTTAGTAGCTCTTTCAAAATAAAAAAAGTAAAAACAGCTAATCTGAAGATCAGGAAATATAACCAAATCTAAAATCATCAGGGAAAAGCATACCAAACATTGTACAGCACTAGCCCATGAAGTTCGAGTTCAAGTTCACGCACCCTTCACTGTGAGACACACCCAAAGCTGCCCTCCTGGGACTGTGCAGCTTTCCTTGCTGATTCCTGACAGCCTGGTTTGCAAGTCTCCCTTCTCATTACCTCTTCTGGTTTTCAAACCATCACAAGTAATTCTGAGTGACCCTTGGCAAAAAGTCACAACTGTTTCCAAGAGAAAGTGGAAGCAGAAAACAGAAAATAAGAGACCATCTGTAAATTCCATTATATCCTTAGTGCAAATATCCCAAGCTTTGTATGGATTACATACGTGTGCATTTTTAGTTTTACATTCTGTGGTGCCTTGGGTATCCCATCTTGAAACATTAGAGTAGTTACAGATTTTTGTATTTTTCTCTTACCCTGCTTCCATCACTAACAACCTCTTCTTCCTGATACGAGAGGAGTGAGCAAGCCAGTTATGTTTGTTCTTTGAAGCTAGTTTGGAGCTCTTTGTCCTCAGAGATCCTACCCAATACCCCTTCTTTTGATGGGCTCACAAAACACCATGAATGCTAGAAAAGTCCATGGATACCTGTTCCTATCATCTTTGCAACAAAGATATTCTTAAAGCCATATGTGCTTTTATTGTGAATTGAGTGAAGGTTTACAGGGCAGATCATCAGTTTTACATTCAACAAATCATTGCAATGACTACAATGCCCTCCATGCACCACCATCAGCTTACATTATTTACCTCTGGTAGCATAGTGGTTACGAATCGGGCTGCGAACCTTAAGGTCAGCGGTTCGAAACTACCAGCCGCTCCGCGGGAGAAAGATGAGGCTTTCTACTCCCGTAAGGATTTACACCCTCAGAAACCCTGTACAGTGTCGCTATGGGTCGGAACCGACTTGACGGCACTTAACAACAACAGCAACAATTTTTTTTAATGTACACATCCCACATTGAAAGTAAATATTCGTTTGAATATCCAAAGGGCACATTTTGTAAGCCAGCCTCCTGCTTGAAGGCACACTGCCTTTCTCAGTCCCTGGGCCTCTAGTCCTCTGCTGCTCTGTCTCTCTATGCCATCGCCTCTGCTGCCATCTCTGTTGTCACTGCTTTTCTGGTTAGGATCACTTGCTCCTCTCTCTCATGCTCTTCCCTCTTGATGGTCCTAGTGTCTTCTGTTCCTGAAATGACAGATTAACTGCTCCCCCTTTTAGTTACACCTTTTCTACATTTACAGTTGTGACAATTATTAGTCCTGATAGCGGTTACTCGCAATTGAATCATAAAATCCTGGCCCCCTCATCACCAGACCCAACTGGACAAGAGGATAACTATTCAGTAGGGTTTCTGTCTTACTGCCTTCGTTCTGACACTAAGCACCCTCATAAAAGTCAGTCACTTCATGCCAGTATAGCATCCAAGTTTTGACCATATGTGCTTTTAGTTTCTGGCCTTAAATGTCAATAAATAGAGAACACAGATTCTACATCGGAATTCAGAGAAAAGTGACAACAAATGCTCAAAGACAAAGGGAACTCAGGTCATCCCTGGGGAACTCTTTCCAAAAATGACTGAATGCAGGATGCCAGTGATCATGTGAGTGTTGTTCAGAGAGACTTGTTGTTGTTATGTGCCGTGGAGTCGGTTCCTACTCCTAGCGACCCTGTACAGGGTTTCCGAGGCTGTAAATCTTTATGGGAGCAGAAAGCCTCTTCTTTCTCCCACGGGACAGCTGGTAGTTTCGAACTGCTGACCTTGCAAGGGGTTGAAACCTTAGGGCAAGGGATCCTTTGGTCCATACTTAGGGTGGGCACTGTAGCTTGATCCAATTCTACTTGTGTTTCCTCTTTGCATCTCTTCAATAGTCTGCTCTTTACTATGTTTTTTTTTAACAAATAGGATAGGTGGACACTGGCCCTTTCCCATGGTATAAAGTGCTACTTAGGGATTTTTTCTTAACGTGTCACCCAACCCTTGTTAGCATTGGGGTGGGAGGGGACTGAGAGGGCAGTTAGTGAGAATCCTGAGGTGAAGTCAAATTCAGGATTATCAGGGGAAACTGGTGCATGCAGGGGAGGCATGAGGTCTGCTCAAAATACTGGCCCGAGAGCTCGGGCCAAGAAGGGGATTGTAATCGGGACCCATAGTGAGCATGAGGAGACAGTAAAGAGACTGGCCTCTGCGTCAGAGCTCGGGACTGAGGGCCAGAAAGTGGGTTAGAGCTGTCAGGTATTGAGCTGCTTATCAGGCGGAGCAGGTCTCCCTAGCACCTTATTTTCTGGGATGGGGATGTTGGGCATTCTCATTTTGGCTCAGGCAGTGACCTCTGAGCTCTGTTTGCTGACACCAGCGCAGTGCTAATGTGGCGTCTTTCTCTAGTTTCAGTAGACCTTTGCCCCCAGTTCTCTCACATCTGTCATTCTGTCCTCCAGTTCTACCATGCCTGTGACCAGCCAGGTATTGTGGTTTTCTGCATCATGGACTACGACGTGCTGCAGTTCTGTGATTTCCTGGGCTCTCTGATGTCTGTGTGGGTCACTGTCATTGCCATGGCTCGTTTACAGCCTGTGATTAAACAGGTCAGTGCAGAGTGCCCGGGACCTGGATGGGGGTGGGGAGTACAGGTCAACCATAACCAAAGACTCCTTGAAGTCCCCTCCAAACCTCTCCCTGGGGGCATTGCCAAGCCCCCTTCCATCCTGGCCCATGCCCCGGAGGGCTGTCTCCAGGTCTGGCTGAGTCCCTGGAAGCCTCTTGTCCTAGGTGCTGTATTTGCTGGGGGCTATGCTACTGTCCATGGCTCTGCAACTTGACCGGCATGGACTATGGAACCTGCTTGGACCCAGTCTCTTCGCCCTGGGGATCTTGGCCACAGCCTGGGTAAGAGTGAGGAAGAGATCTTGGCCACAACCTGTGTTCAGGGGGATCCCAACAGAACCTGCATTCAGGACATTTGGTGCCTAGTTCTCAATTTAAGGTGGGCTTGCTCCCTGTCATCAGTACTGAGCCCCTCTTGGCATCTACTCCAGTCCTGGAAAGTGCTGTTAGGTCACAAGTAGGGACCAGGGGAGAAGCCTGAGAATGATTGGTTCTGGCTTGGATAACAGGGCCCCGCTTCTCTGCTTCCCCAGACAGTACGCAGCGTCCGCCGCCGGCACTGCTACCCACCGACATGGCGCCGCTGGCTCTTCTACCTGTGTCCAGGAAGCCTTATTGCAGGCAGTGCCGTCCTACTCTACGCTTTTGTGGAAACCCAGGACAACTACTTCTACATTCACAGCATTTGGCATATGCTCATTGCTGGTAGTGTGGGCTTCTTGCTGCCCCCTCGTGCCAAGACTGACCACCGGGTCCCATCAGGAACCAGGGCCCGGGGCTGCGGTTACCAGTTGTGCATCAATGAGCAGGAGGAGCTGGGTCTTGTGGGCTCAGGAGGGGCCGCTGTCAGCAGCATCTGTGCTAGCTGAGAGGGGCTTTGGGCCTGGCCCTTTGGGAAAATGAACCCTTCCCAGGGGCAGAGAAGGCCTTCCTGGGGGACATGAGACAAGCTGTTTTCTTGAGGACATGGAGTCTTTCTTAAGGATGTGGAGTTCCTCCAAGGACCCAGAGTCTGTCCAGGGACATGGAGCACTTCCTGAGGGTCTGGAGTCATCCTGCATCCAAGGAGTCCCTCTCAAGGACTGGAGTCTGTGCAGGGACACAGAGCCCCTCAGAACCAGGGAGCCCTCCTAGGGATGTGGAAGCCTCCAGGGGACATGGGTGCCTTCCCTGGAAGACAAAGCGCTCTCAGGAACATGGCGTCATTCCTGAGGAAATGATGCCCATCTTGGGGTAACTCAGTCTCAGATCTTCCCAGTATCTTTTGGCCTCAGACTCCTTTCCCAGAGACAGCGTCTAGGCTGTACTGTGGAAGGGAGTGGGGAGTGCAGGCCAGATGGGCCTGGGACTGGCCTTGGGGGACTGGTATCCTTAGTTGATGGAGGTGGAATCTGGTGTGTCTCCAATGAAGTGTATGCTGGTTCTGTGCTGCCTTTTCGTCTGGGGCCAATGGTGTGTGAGGGGCTGGGGAGAAGGACCTGAGGAAGTCAATAGGAGTGATGGGAGCCCAGCCGAAATGAGCATCAGGAGCTACTGTCTGAGGCTTTGATCCCGCCATGCAGACACATTTCCCTTTGTATCTGGTCTCAGCATCCACCTCCACTACCCTTTAATGACTGCTGTGTCCAGACACTGGGCTAGCTTGAGGGGAAGCCAGGCTGCTGCCCCTGGCAGAAGGGAGTGTGAGTCTGTGTGTGTAGAGGGTTGCTGAAAAGACTTTCATCAGTGAGACAGACTTCCCTCATGGAACTGACAACCAATAGGGAAGGAAGTCTAGCTCTGTGGGGGAACGGATATGAATCTCAGGCCTTAAAGAACGATCACAAGAATGTAGCTTCTGTTTTGAGACCCCACTTTGTTTGAATGCCAGAAGCATAATCTCTTGTCAATTTTGGATTTCTTTTTTTTCCATAAGGGTCACAACGCAGTTCTGAGGGTCTTCCATCATGCCAGGATGCTGAGAGAGTGTTCTCTCTACTCCCAGAGTCTGTAGTGCATCCATCATGCCACCTGGTCCCTAGTCAGTGTCCCAGGCATGTCATCCCTGAGAAGTTTCTTGTTCCCATTGATGTAACGTGTTTCAGTCCTGAGTCTGTGTATCCCTTGTATGTCACACGGGAAGATGTTTGAGATTGTCTAAGGTCTTGGTTACCTAGAAACTCTTTGAAGCCATTTGTATTTGGGGATCATGGTGCCTCCCTGTGCTTTAGTTAACCAATTTAGAATGAGTTGCTCTGGCTTTAATTTGCAAATCTATGCAGAGGACTGCCATCTTCTCAGGACTTGGCCTGTGGAGGGAAGGCCTCTCCCTTTGGGGACTGACCTTGTGCCCATGCTCTCATTAGCTCTACCCCTCTCCCCTGCCCCGCCTCCTTTCTCTTCCTTCCCTGTAGCTCAGGGACTCTTGTTAATCTGGAGATGGGGGAAGCCTTACTTTTCAATGTTTTCTCCCAGATATTTTGTCTATGCCTAAAGTCTTTTGAGTTCCCTTCTAAGCCTAGGCTTTTGAAGCCCAAAAGCCAGGAAAAGAGTCCTTTGTTTTTTGACTTCTGTAATCACGTTTATTCTTGGAGGAACTGAGCAGGAATGATGGGGCCAACTGAATGGTGAGAAGGACCAAGAGGATGTGGGCTATGTGTCTGTTCCTGTATCTAAAACAAACAAACAAACTAATAAAACAAAGCAAAACTGTTCCTATATAAGAAATAGTCCATCACACTAAGATATACAAAGCCTGGTCACATGACACATGAGCCCAGCTAGCTGGGATTCAGGAAACAGTACAATACAGAGGGCATTGAGGAAGGAGGTGGAGATGGGACAGATCACACCCAGCTAGTGGGATTAGAAGGAACTTCCTGGGAATGGGAGTGGGGGGCTTGAGTGACAATAAAATGAGTGTACACAATGCCAGTGGTGAGGATTTTTGTTTTCTTTACATTGAGATGCAATCCATACCAAACACTGTGGTCTTTGATCTTCATCAGTAAATATTTTAAGTCCTCTTCACTTTCAGCAAGCAAGGTTGTATCATCTACGTATCGCAGGTTGTTAATGAGTCTTCTTCCAATCCTAATGCCACATTTTTTTTTCATATATTCTTCATATTCTTCTCGGATTATTTGGAAGTAGTAGTCAAGAAATCAAATGACTTATTGCATTACACAAATCTGCTGCACAAGATCTTTTTAAAATGTTGAAGATCAAAGATGTCAGCTTGAGGACTAAAGTGCGCCTGACCTAAGCCATACTATTTTCAGTAACCTCATATGCATGCAAAAGCTGGACAGGGAATAAGGAAGACCATAGAAGAATTGATGCATTTGAGTTATGGTGTTGGAGGAGAATATTGAAAGTGCCATGGATGCCAAAAGAACCAACAGATCTGTGTTGGAAGAAGTGTAGCCAGAGTGCTCCTTGCAGGCCAGAATGGCCAAACTTTGTCTCTCATACTTCGGACATATTGTCAGGAGGGACCAGTCTCTGGAGAAGGATATGTTTGGTAAGGTGGAAGTCAGAGAAAAAGAGGAAGACCCCCAGCAAGACCATGAGGCAAAGTAGAACTTGTGTCTTTCTCTTACTGTTGCCAATCTCAGTAACATGAGCTAGGGATGGGGGGCTATAGAAGAAGTTTATTTTCTTCACCACTTGACCCAGGACTCAGAACAGCTGAAGGAAGAGATCTGGTGAGAACTGGAGGAGTTGAGGGTCTAGCTTCTGCCCCCAGCTTACAAGGTAAGGCAGCAGATAAGTGACAACGTGTATTCCCACAGTGCTAACCAGAGCATGACAAATAGTGCTGCTTCACTTTTGCCTTTCAAATCTCATGCACATTTCTTGCCTGGTCAACCTTAACTCTGAACCACACAGGAAAGAGAATTGTAGGGACTATAGTTTCATGTGGCACTGTGGGATAAAGCACTGAACCACAAGGTCGATTTGAGCCATAAGGTTGATGGTTTAAACTCACCAGCCACTCCTTGGGAACCCTACACAGGGTCGCTATAAGTTGGAACTGACTCGACAACATTTAACAACAGGTTGACATAGTACAAGGTTACCACAAGATGATAAGAAGGGGGAAGGAAGCCAAATTTCTAGTAGCTCTTGGGTGCCATCAAGTTGGTTCTGATTCATAAGAACACTGTATAGGGTTTGAACTGCCAACTTGGTGGTTAGCAGTCCAATGCTTATCCTATAGCGCCACACCAGGACTGTGAAGAGTACCATAGACCACCTAATTGTCTCCATTTCACAGCAGGAGAAACGGTCAAGGCCATACAGCAGAATAGGATCCAACTCATCTATGCGTAGCCACTGCTAGACTGACTGTGGGACCTGCAAGTTGCTATGGCACTGTATAGGTTGTAGTGGAATTTCTGGTCTAAGATTAGGAAGAAAGGCCTGGTGATATGCTTCTAAAACTCGGCCAATGGAAATCCTATGGGTCACAGTGGTCCAGTCTGTGAATGATCATGGAGATGGCATGGGGCCAGGCAGCATTTCCTTCCCTTGTGAATGGGGTCTGCATGTGCAGGGCAGACTCCACAGCAGCTAACAACAATGGTACTCTGAAACCCCTGAATATTTCCTCACAAATTTCTAGCAACTTCTAACCTGAGCTCTGGTAGCGTAGTGGTTACAAATCGGGCTGTGAACCACAAGGTCAGCAGTTTGAAAATACCAGTTGTTCGGTGGGAGAAAGATGAGGCTTTCTGCTCCCGTAAAGATTTACAGCCTCAGAAACCCTGTACAGGATCACTATGAGTTAGAACCGACTCCACAGCACATAACCACCACCACCTAACCTTGAGGCTACTTTGCAAGATAAATATCAGCGTATCCATTTCACTGGCCCGTAAGTCTACTTTTAGCCACTTAACATTCATATTATGCTTCACAGATTATTTTAAAAGCAGGGAGGCATGGCAAGAAGAAAGCTGTTTTGTCAATTTTCCTGAAATGCCTGAATCTGGGGTTCCTGCTTCACTATTTCAGGCTAGTTGAGTATGGGCTTTGGAGTCTGATCAACTAGGGTTCAAGTCCCACCTCTGCCACTTCACTTGCTAATAATTTTCTGAGCCTCAGATCCCTTCCCTGTAATGTGGAGATAATCATGGTATTTCTTTGGGTTGTTTTGAGGACCCAGGGTGTTAATGTATGTAAAACTCCCAGCACTCAGCTTGGTACAGGTTGTTGTTTAGTTCAGTTAAGTCTATTCTGACTCACAGCTGCTCTGCATAGGGTTTTGAGGCTATAAATCTTTGCTGGATAGGAAAACCTTATATTTCTCCTGTGGAGCAGCTGGTAGACTCAAACTGCTGACCTGTGGTCCATAGTCCAGTGCTTATCCTACAGAGCCACTGCACTTCCCATTAGCTGTTATTAATTTTTCAGATGTCCGTTCTCCCAAGAAAATATTCTGTTTTTCACTTAAAAACAATCATGAGACTAATCCATGTTAGATGACTGCTGTTTACCTCCTCCCTCTTGACCCCCTGGTATAAGTGCATACAAGGTGGCTGGTTCTGGCTGCCAGGTGGTCGGCCCAGGAGAGTGGGAGAACAGAGAGGGAGCGTTGAGCTCATCACCAGCAGGCCCATTGGGCTGGGCTGAGTCAGGATGGAGAGGCCCCAAGGACCATCTCCTGGTCCCCTGCCACAGACACAGCTCGCAGCTCTCAGAGACCTCATGGTCCCTGCCCAATTTAAAGTTCAAACTCTGAAACTACATAAAGTTTCAGGATTTGGCTGCTGTGTGCCTGGGTTTCAGAGACTCCAGGTTCCAGGAAGGACCTACTGAGGAGAGGCTTCTGGGGAGAGAATCTGAAGATGGCCTCATTTCATTATCAACCCTAGGATGCCACAGG